AATATTTTGCACACTTGTCAGGCCTGGTGAAAAATTTGATATTTTAAAGGTCCCAAAAAAATCGCAAAGAAAATGGCTGAACAGCGCCCCCTACAAAGTGAAAAAAAACCCTCTCCATAAAGCTTAGTTTATCGTACAGTTATGAAATTTGGTACACTTGTAGTACTCAACAGTCCGCACAGAAAAGTCTCTTGCAACCATGGTCAATATCAAACAGGAAGTCGGCCATTTTGGGTTGAAATGGCGATTTTTTGCCGTTTTTGCCGTTTTTAGGGTCCGTCTCTGATTGGATTGCTCGATCATTTTTCGCACGATCGTCTCAAAAATTGTGTAAAATTGCTCAGAAGGGATGGGCGAACAAAATGAGATAAGGATTCTGAGTTTTCGTATATGTTGAAGGGGCGGAGCCAGGCCTCAAAGTTTGACTACTCGCCAAAAAAATTTAAATTGCTATAACTTCATAATTGAATGGAATAGCGTTACCAAACTTTCTGTGGTCATTTGTCATCGACCCACAAAGTAAATTGAATGGTCGGTTGATGACATCACACAAGCCCCGCCCCCTCAGGACCAAAAAGGTCAAGTTTTACTGTGAAAGGTCCCAAATTGCCCCATTTCACTTAATCACCACAAATTTGGAGCTGGTAACTCAAGGCAAGTGGGGGTTGCTTGGCGTCACTTTATGGGAGTTTTCGGCAGAGGGCGGGGCTGTGGCGGCGCGGCGAAGTAAGGCGTACCGCCGTGGCCTTACGTTTGCCTCCCATTTCTTTATTTCTAAAGATGTCGTCACGAAACTTCTTGTGAGTGATCCTAGTCTGGCCCCCCAAAAAATCTGACGTGAACATCCGGTGGGCGTGGCCAATTTTCTGAAATAGCGCCCCCTAGGACCATTAAAACTGTCAGCCCCAAGCCATGCTTTGACTGAGGATTACGAAATTTGGTACACTAATGTGGTGTCTCAGGACCTACAAAAAAGTCTCTTGGAGCCAAGTGCAAAGTCGCACAGGAAGTCGGCCATTTTGGTCCAAGTGCGCGATTTAGTTGTTTTCGCACACGTTGTTTGGAGAGTGATGCTCCGTCGCCCTTTTCACCAATCTCCTTCAAACTTCTGCTATATACTCTTAAGACATAGGGGAAAAAATTCAACCGTCGGATTTTTCAAAAGTTGAAAGGTGTGGGCGTGGCTAAGCCTCAAACTTTGAACTGTCGCCACGCCACTCTTTTTTTCACAGCTCCCTACTGGACTCCTTTTACCCAAACACCAGGATTCTGTGGCAAACAGCAGTAGACAACTTGAGGTTACTTGGTCTCCAGTACTGGCAGGTTTTGAAAAAAGGCGGGGCTTTGGGAGCATGGCGAAAATCACCATCACGCCATGGAAATACGTTTGCCTCTCATTCCTTAAGTTATCGAGATATCACCTCGAAATTTGTTGTGAGTGATCCTAGTCTGACCCCCAATAGAAATGGACAGCTAAAATTTGTGGGCGTGGCCAATTTTCTGAAATAGCGCCCTCTAGGACCATTAAAACTGCCAGCCCCTAGCCATGCTTTGACTGAGGATTACGAAATTTGGTAAACTAATGTGGAGTCTCAGGACCTACAAAAAAGTCTCTTGGAGCCAAGTCCAAAGTCGCACAGGAAGTCGGCCATTTTGGTACAAGTACGCGATTTAGTTGTTTTGGTACACGTTGTTTGGAGAGTGATGCTCCGTTGCTTTTTTCACCAATCGCTTTCACACTTCTGCTATATACTCTTAAGACGTAGGGGAAAAAATTCAACCGTCGGATTTTTCAAAAGTTGAAAGGTGTGGGCGTGGCTAAGCCTCAAACTTTGACCTGTCGCCACGCCACTCTTTTTTCACAGCTCCCTACTGGACTCCTTTTACCCAATCAGCAGGAATCTCTGGCAAATAGCAGTAGACAACGTGAGGTCACTTGGTCTCCAGTACTGGCAGGTTTCAAAAAAAGGCGGGGCTTTGGGAGCATGGCGAAAATCGCCATCACGCCATGGAAATACGTTTGCCTCTCATTTCTTCAGTTATCGTGATATCACTACGAAACTTCTGGTGAGTGATCCTAGTCTGACCCCAAGAGAAATAGACAGCTGAAGTTTGTGGGCGTGGCCTATTTCCTTAAATAGCGCCCCCTAGGACCTTTTAAACTAATAGCCCCAAGCCATGCTTTGACTGAGGATTACGAAATTTGGTACACTAATGTGTTGTCTCAGGAAAAAAAGTCTCTTGGAGCCAAGTGCAAAATCGTACAGGAAGTCGGCCATTTTGGTCCAAGTACTCAATTTAGTGGTTTTCGCAGACATTGTTTGGAGTATTATGCCCCATCGTCCTTTTCACCAATTGCCTTCAAACTCCTGCTATATCCTCTTAAGACATAGGGGAAAAAATTCAACCGTCGGATTTTTCAAAAGTTGAAAGGTGTGGGCGTGGCTAACCCTCAAACTTTGACCTTTCGCCATTACATTTCTTGGCTTAATAACTCCCATGTGCATGATCTAATCTATATCAAACTTTGTCTGTGTGATCACTGACCACATCTGAAGACAATGCCAATGTGGACAGCTGACATCCCCTAAGTCCCGCCCTCTACTACAGGAAGTCTATTGTTTTATGGTGAAATGCCCATATTTGTCATGATCTGAAAGCTTTCCAGCGGCCCTAGATAAGTTTAACCTACAATAACTTCAAACAACGTGGTCAGAAAAGCATTACAGTTGGTCTGTGTCATCAGATCCACGAGAGTCGTAAAGGTAGAGTATGCCCTAGTTGTGAGACGTGTAATATAATGGTGTCCTCAGAGGGGATGCTGAGTCAGGGTGAGGTGCGGACGAGGTGATCGTTTGCGGTTTCTGGTGTCGGGGTGGTCGACGTTTCTGTTCCGTGGACGTGCCCTATTGCCCCGGGCTGCCGGCCAGGCCGGAGCGGCGCGGAGCTGCGAGGGCCGAACGACGCTGCTTGCAGCTTTAATTTCGTTTGTTTTCATTTAAGTTAATTGCAGACTTTAATAAGGTACAAAGACTAAATGTTATATTAAGTGATTGTTTTGTCAGTTAAAGAACTGACAATGAACTTACCATTATAAGTTAGAAAATTGCTATTTATTATGGAGAAGCATCAAAATCAATGTGCATCAGCAAAGATGAAACACAAGCATGTATCAGAAAAAGTAAGAAAACTATCTTTTATATAGCGCCTCTCAAGATTAATCAAGGCTCTTCACGAAAACTAAATATTTAACATATAAAAATGGTTTAAAAATATAACAAAATGTTTAAAATGACAAAAAAAGTGTCTAAAATATGTAAGGAAAGAGAGAGAGAGAGAAAATGAATAGGAAAGAGGGAAATCGGTGGATCCCAGGATAGACAGAATAGGTAGAAAGTGCCGAACAAGGAGAGGGTAGTGATGAAGGTCACACAAAAGCCAGCTTGAACAGATGAGTTCAGCTGCTTTTTAAAGGAGACAACTGAGTCCACTGATCTCAGGCTCAGGGGGAGAGAGTTCCAGAGTCTGGGGGCCACAGCAGCAAATGATCTGTCACCTTTGGTCTTTAGCCTGGTGCGTTGCACAACCAGTAGGCTTTGGTCACTGGACCTCAGGGACCTGCTGGGGGTGTAGGGACTAAGAAGATCACCAATGTAAGATGGTGCTTGTCCATGTAAGGCCCTATAGACCAGAACCAGGATCTTGAAATGAACCCTGAAGTTGACTGGCAGCCAGTGCAGCTGGAGGAGAAGCGGGGTGATGTGGGTGTGTTTGGAGGACTTGGTCAGAAGCCGAGCACAGGCATTCTGAACCACCTGTAGATGGTTCAGGGAGGTTCCGCTCAGACACGTGAAAAGAGAGTTACAGTAGTCTTAAGTGTGAGGAGATGAAGGTGTGGAGAACTGTCTCAAGTTCAGAGCGGGACAGAATGGGACTCAGCTTAGCAACGTTCCTGAGATGGAAGAAGGAAGAGCGAACAAGAGAACTGACATGAGAATCCAGGGTGAGAGCTGGGTCAAAGGTCACACCATGATTCCTGACAGAGGGTTTGCTTGTCCGGGGCACAGATGAGGATCTCAGTCTTATTGTGGCAAGGTGGAGAAACAAGGGCCCGGGCAGAATTTGATCCCCAGACTCCCAGGTGAGAGTCACGCGCGCTTATCAGTCAGCCAAAGTGACATCCCCTTGACCAAGTAGCCAGGGCACATGATCAATCGGGACACTGTGACAGGACACATACACTGCCACATCATCTTCATTCAGCTGTAGAAAGTCACCAGCCATCCAGATTTTGATGGAGTCTAAGCAGGTGTGTAACAGCTGCAGCTTAGACATCTCATGGGGCTTAAAGGAGATGTACAGTTGGATGTCATCTGCTTAAAGATGGTAGGAGATTCCTTTAAAGGAGCTCAGAATGTGCTGAAGAGGAAGCAGATAGAGGAGGAAGAGCAGAGGCACCAGCACAAAACCTTGTGGGACACCATGGGTGAGGGATGTGGTGGAGGACCGAAACTTGGAGACGGCCACAGAGAAGGAACGCTCAGACAGATAAGAGGAGAACCACTCCAGAGCAGATCCTGATAGGCCTACCCAGTCTCTCAGCCTCTCCAGTAGCAGGTGATGGTCAACAGTGTCAAAGGCTGCAGTCAGGTCCAGGACCAGAATTTGTCAGACAGTAGTCAAATGTAAATGAAAAATAAACAACTAGCAAAAGCACCTAGATAATAATATGACTAAATTATACGGTAGATAATTAAGATCTGAATGTTGTTGGAAGCTGGCTCTGTATAAAACATAAAAAATATTTTTTGTGTTCTGTTTTTCATCATTTTTTGTCTCTTGTGAAACACGTGCGCCATATTGTGCTCATTTCATGTTATCTTATCTATACAATGTTTTTCTACTTCTGTGAATTGGACAAAGAGTCCGGAATAAAGAATATTGAAAATTGACTTTTCTTGACAACTCAAACAGCTGCTGTACCCTCTTTGACCACTCGTGGCAGCAACGGTCAGAAGACTAAAACAGAGGAACTGCAGACCAGAAGAAGAAGCAGCAGAAACAGCAGAAGTTGTTGTGGAAGCATCGTGTGGAAGCAACGATCCCGGTAAATGAGTGTAACTTTTTAAATTCTCGGAGCTTTTTTATTAATTTTATCTTGCGTGTTTGTTAGAGCGACTCTGTAAACTTAACTAGTTTAAATTATTGTGTTTAAATGACAGGAAACAAAAACTAGCAGGTTTAGCTTTCCTCCTGGTAAACTTAAGTACAGACAACATGATTTTATAGCCTGTGTTCTCAGTCAGACCTACTAATCTAATCTAAACTAAACAGCGGGTTGAAGCAGTATCAGATTACTCACTAACTCACTCACAAAGTCAAAATTAGCTCAGTAATAGTAAAGTAAATCACCTAGAGCTGTCATATTGGATCTTGTCCTCCAGATTTAGTCCAGGTGTAATGCTAATGAATCTGATGTCATCAAAATTTAAAAATCAATCAGACCACCTCAGGCTCTGCTCTTGTATTTGTCCTTCTCATCATTGATCTCAGTCTGAGTCAGGAACATTTCTGTCCTCTCAGACTCTAGACCTCCTGTTTTCTCTTGTTTGTATGGTTATTGGCAGGCCTCACCACTTTAGTTCTGTTTAGGTCTTCTGCCCCTTTTCTGGTTTTTTCTTCTTCTGTCTTCTGTGTTTGTGGAGTTTCTCCACATTTAACAAAGATCCAATTTGGGTTCCTGCAGGTCTTTGTTTACGTCTGTCGTCCTGTCTCCTCCTGTGTTGGTGGGCATGCTCTCTAGCTGAGCTGACAGAGGAGTGAGTGGTCAGTGAATGTTTCCTGTAGACCTCAGTGTTAAATATCCATCCATTGTCTGAACCAGCTTTGTCCAGACAGGGGGGTGTCTGCTTACTAATGCATTACAAAATATGGTTAAGCAGTTGATAATACTTTTTAAAATAGTTTACTAATGCTTAATAATGCACTAAGTAATGTTTATAATGGACCCTTTCTTTATTGTAAAGTTCTACCATGCTTGTTAGAAAAAAACGTGTTCAGCTCCTTGAGTCCCGCAGCGAGAATGCTCTGATTAAATTAGCATTAAAACCAACTGGTCACCTGTGTGTACATTCAATAATTGATCTGCACAATCAGCCAGTCCTGTTTTACTGAGATGAGTGAACAGACTGTTCCAGTAATCTAATCCTGAAGAGATTAAAAAGCCTGAATTATCATCCCAGATTCACTCACTGAAACCTTTAATCTGAGTTGAGACTTTCATCTTGCTTGTACAGGACGGTTTGTTGTTCTCCCCCATCCTCTCTGGTGACCTAGATGTTCACTGAGTTCATGTGTTTGGTGAAAGCGTTGAACTTAGCCTTTCGCTCTGGTTTGACCATACTTGGTGAACTGTGAATGTCTGGTTTTTAGGTTTCTTTGTGTTATTTTAGGTTACCGTGCAGTGATGGCTGGTCTGGACTCAACCAAAACATGGCTCTCTGCTCAGCTGCTGGTCTTCTGGATGCTCTCCAACATCTCTGGTGACTCATTAGATCTGATGGCTTCCTCTGGCTGTGTTTAGTAAACGTAGGCCATTCTTAGGCCGAATGCTCTTGGAACATGTTTAATCATTGGGTTTAAGGTTAGACATTCAGTTAAACATCATCTGAGGGCTGAAACACTCCAGGTGGAGTATGAGACTTTAGGGCTGCAAAATCCTGAGGTTTCTGATTCACATCCACTGATTTGTTGAATCTACCTGTTATTTTCTGTTTTTGCTGCTGTAGCTCATTATTAGAAACTAGTCCTTTCCCTGGTTTCTGTAGAAGTGGTTTATTTTTCTTTAAATGCCCCCTAGAGTCCACCGTGTGTCTGAATGCTCCAGATGCTGTCATGCTGGAGGAGAACTCGAGAGCAAGTATCATCGTCACCTCCAGGTTAGGCTGCCACCACGTCTGGAGTCCACATGTCCTTATCCTCACTGTCCCTTTGTCCCGTTTTTTTCTCTGACACAACTTTTAATTACATTCATAGTAGGGCTAGGAATAAATCGAAAAATTATCGTTATCAAAATTTCTGACACTTATCGAGATATTTATTCCCATGTCAATAAGTTTGATAATAAAAACATTTAAAAATCTGTGTAGGTTGGCAACAGTCATGTTGCTTTAAGAAGCTGTACCACCTTGAGTCACTACCGGGCCGGCCCGGGCCGGGTAGCGTAGGTTGTTTACATATCTGGGTGGCCTGGTATTTTTCCGGGCCAACCAAGGCTCATTCTCAGCCCTCTTCTCGAGGGGGTCTGCTTCAGGCCGACCAGGGCCAACACACCCACTGCTGACAGCAAATTCACACCTTCCATTAGAGCAAGCCTCTGATTGGTGGGTAGAATCAGCCCACATGGGCTTAAGGCAAGGATGTGTGGAATCAACCGGGCCAGGCTGGGGCCGACTGGGGCTACCCGGCCCGGGCTGACCCGGTACAGATGGGAATGGCCCATAATGGCCATTCCCATCTGTACCTGGTCGGCCTGACCCGGATAGCATAGCTTGCTTACATATCTTGTGGGCCATTCCCATCTGTCCCTGGTTAGCCCAGACCGGTTGATTCCACACATCCTTGCTTAAGCCTGATTTATGCTTCTTCGTCTGCGTCAGTGCGGAGACACGCAACGCCATTATCCGTCCTTGCGTAGGGCACGCAAGTACGTACGGAGTCGAGCCCACTTTTTTAAACATCCGTCGAACGAGACGGATTACGCAAGCTTGTGATTGGTCAGGACGCCGCTGTTGTTTACAGCGCCGCCATTGCAAAGAGAGCCGAGTTTAACTAGCGGCAGACACGGAGAAGCTTGAAGAATACCTCGCGAAAAAACTCTAAAAACATGAACGTTTAATTCTCCCGTGACTGGAGGAGTGAAAAGATGCGCAGCAAGCGTTTTATTTGTGGACGGAAATAACAGGAAACGTGGGTTTAGAGGTGGGGAGCGCATGAAGCGGTGGGAGAATGAGAGACAAATATGTCCGTGTTAAAAGTCTCTTATATACACAAAAAACACAAAATAAACACACGATCTTGGACCGATACATGACAGGATACCAAAGAACAGCGCTATGCCCTCTGTTGTCCTGCCGGGCAATTGCTTTGCAACGCTCTCCAGGAGACGGAGAAGTAAAAGAGCAAAACGCTTCCGTCAATCCGTGCGTGTCTGTCCCTTGCGGAGCTGACGGAGAAGCGTAAACCAGGCTTTAGTTATGCAAGGAATGCAGTCAGAGACATTTTCAGTTTCTAGGTAATCAGCATGATAATGAATTGAGCATGCCTTAAGCCCATGTGGGCTGATTCTACCCACCAATCAGAGGCTTGCTCTAATGGAAGGTGTGAATTTGCTGACAGCAGTGGGTGTGTTGGCCCTGGTCGGCCTGAAGCAGACCACCTCAGAAAGAGGGCTGAAAAACAGTCTTGTTGCACCCTGAAAAAAGGCAGGCCACCGCTATCCGGGCCGGGACCACCAGGCACAGATAGGAATGGCCCATTGGTGGCCTGCCTTTTTTCAGGGTGCAACAAGACTGTTTTTCAGCCCTCTTCTCGAGGGGGTCTGCTTCAGGCCGACCAGGGCCAGCACACCCACCGCTGACAGCAAATTCACACCTTCCATTACAGCAAGCCTCTGATTGGTGGGTAGAATCAGCCCACATGGGCTTAAAGGTTGGTTTATGCTTGACGCGTCCGCGAGGTCCGCACGGCTCCACGCGGAAAAGTTGCGTAATTTTAACAACCACGCCCCTCCATCGCGCCTCCGCACGGCCCAGAATTTCCGGAACGCGCACCTCGGAAAATTTCTAACCACACGGATGGTCGGACGCGGAAAAACATGGTGGACCGGCAAGAACTAGTATGGCAGAGGGTCGTAAATACAGACATTTGTATGATTCAGCTCTCAGAGATCACCGTGATCAACGTGTTGTAAATAATTCTTGGAGAGAAATAGCTCGCACTGTCGGAAAAGACGAGAACGCTGTTAAAAATGCTGAAATGCCATGAACAGTAATTTCTACTTCTACTATGGTGTAGTGTTGGGTGCGTGCCGTAGAGCTCCATGCTGCCCCCTACAGTTTGGGAGATTATTGGCTCACCGCAGAGACGAGCCGCATGATCCATATACGCTGCGAGTTGTGAAGCGCGTTCCATCCGCGAGCCGCATCACCGCGCGGAAAGTGAATGCATCAAGCATAAACCAAGCTTAAGGCATGCTCAATTCATTATCATTCATTATCATGCGGATTACCTAGAAACTGAAAATGTCTCTGACTGCATTCCTTGCATACCTAAGCAAGGATGTGTGGAAACAACCGGGCCAGGCTGGGGCCGACTGGAGCTATCCGGGCCGGGCCGACCCGGTACAAATGGGAATGGCCCAATAAAAATGTGACTCAACAAAATACATGTGACAGCCCCATCTAGTGGACAACTTTTGTTTCTGCACATATCTGTAGTTATCGTCCATTTATCTTTATCGAGGTGAAATCCTCAATATATTGTGATATTGATTTTATGCCATATCGCTGAGCCCTAATTCATAGCTTTTTAAAAATTTGTGTCATAAAATAGTTCAAAAATTTGAAATAGGAACAAAGCTATGTTGAAAAATAGCCGACAGAGCAGCGGTGTCAGAATCACGACACGAAATAAAAAACTCTGGTCCACGTCGAGGCCAGTCTCGACGATTTTTTATACTAAACTGAAGATATGAATTGGATGGTTTCTCAGATGTATCTTGTCCAATTATTTTCTGTTGACCATTTGGATGTGAGTGAGCTGATGACTTCAGCAGAAACCTCTGTAGTACGATCCGCCTCATGCGTCCTTCAAAGAAAGTAATCCAAATTGTCTGATAAATTCCCTTTTATTACTGATCTGGTTTTAGCAAACAGAAATAATTTAGCCAATTGTCCAACGGACCTCGGATGGAAAAAGTTTTAATGTCAGACGGTGACTGAAATAAAGGTTTGTCTTATTATAGAACAAATGTATCATTCAGTGTCTCTTACACTGTGTGTGTGTGTGTGTGTGTGTGTGTGTGTGTGTGTCCTTAGTTCAGCTGGAAACCAGTCGACTGTGATTTACCTAAACATAACCTACAGCTCCAGGAGGAACTACTCTTCTGTAATAACTCTACCTGAACAGGTAACATGTGTATTTAGAAACTCGTTTGTACGTTCATTCTGTGTTTATCTCTGTTATCCAGTTGTTGTCAGAGATTGCCAGTGTTAGTGGCGTCACTTCCTTTTATCCTGTTTTAATTTCCAGGTAAAAAAAAACAATTTTTTTACTAAAACGTAAGAAAAGAACAAAAATGTATGTATTTAGAGTTTGTTTCCTGCAGCTTTGTGTTTTATAGACCAGAGTTTGGACTTCAAGCATCGACTGACACGTTTCCTTTTTCCTGTCATGTGATCTGCAGCTTGTTGTAACCAAACTAGGGTGTTAAATATGAACTCAAAGCAATAAAGGAAGTGAGAAGAGAATGACTGTGGCCGCCCTCGCTTTTGTTGTGATAGAAAACAAAAATATCTGGATCGAGTCAAAAGGGTTTCAGGAAAGATTAGATCTATGATTCAATATTATGATCCTGGTAAAACTGAAGTAGTGTCAGAACTAGGACACATTATGATCTGTAATTGCTGTTAACAAGAGGCATGGTGTTCTGCTAAAATCACACGTCTCCTCTGGTTTGGTGTCATGTTCAGGTGTTGCTTCCTGAGGAGGCTACTTCTGTCAGCTTCCCTGTGACATCCCATGAGGTTGGTCAGGTGACTACATACCTGCTCAGCAACAGCTCCAACCTGACCAGGTCAGTTCAGTGTTCTAAAACAAACTTGTGGACAAGCTGGGACTGTTCTCAACACTTGCCCTATAAAACACAACTTTTAGACAAAATTATGCTCTTTGTTTAAATAAATCTCGTTGTTAATTTTCTCTAACAAATAGGGATGTGCATTGGTGAAATTACGGCGAAACAAAAGTATCACGATATCGCGATGCATTCAGTCAGACGATATTAGCGATTTTTTAAGACTGAATTTATTCTAGGAAAATTCAATAAACAGTCCAAACTGATACGCAACATGTTAAACATGAGGTCTCTGAACCATAACAGAGGGATTTACATTTCAATGGTGGAAACAAAACCCATTGCACACGGCTGCAAGCTAGCAGTCAATCAATCAATCAATCAATCAATCAATCAATCAAAGCTTTATTTATAAACCGCCTTCCGCAACCCTGTCAATGTCTGAGTTGCATCAAAAGAAAAGAAAATACACAAAAGGTTGCATGTAAATTCTTCCATAAATTAGATACACGGCTTTTGAATATCAATATTATATTGTGGGAAAAAATATCACAATATATTACCATGTCGATGTTTTCTTACATCCCTACTGTCAAAGGAGTAGGGCCTCTTGACGGAGACAGGGATGGGTACCGAATTCGGTACTTTTTAAGGTACCGACCGAATTCCATAGAACCGACCGAGCACCGATTCACGTCATTTCAAACGGTGCCTCGTTTCGGTACCCGTCCTTCATAACGAGAACTTGCCAAGACAGCTGCGCATGCGCAAGAGCGTTATGTCGTCGCTCACTGCGAGCGAGTTGTAAACAGAGCAGCATGGTAGAAAGAACGCACGCTAACGCTTGGGTCCACTTCACTAAATGTGATGGGTAACTGGGTGATGATGAAACCAGCAACAACGATCTAAGTGAGACATCCTCATCTTAATCTGCTCCGGTAGGTAAATAAAATGTTTATGATAACGTTAGCTTGATATGTTAGCTTCCGTTTCGCTAATGGTGCGTTCGCTTTCTCCTCGGAACTCTGAATTTCCGACTAGAACATGAACGCGCTCTAAAGTTTGGCTTCACTTTACTAAATGCGACGGGAGATTGGGTGAAGATGAAACCAGTGACAACGATCTAAGTGTGAGGCATCATCGTTTTAATCTGCTCCAGCAGCTAAATAAACTGTTTAAGATAACGTTAGCTTGGTATGTTCGCTTCCGTTGCCACCGTTGTTATCAGCTAATGGTGCGTTCGCTTTCTCCTCGGAAATTCTAGCTTCCCAGTAGGAAAAATCAAATGAAAAAAGATGGCAAAAGGAATGAAGATACACAGTAAATTTAGTTCACAGTAAAGATGTTTGCTTCAGTTTAATTATCAGCTTATAAAACTACAAGGACGATGTTAAAATACAAACAGTTGAATGTTATTTATCGTGATATTTATCAAATATTGTTATATATTGAGAAAAATATATATTTAATTATAAAAGAGAATTGAAATAATAAACACTCAAAAGTATTGAAAATTGGTACCGTCAAGTACCGGTATCGATTCCTAGGTACCGGGAATTAGTACCGAATCGATTGAAACGTCAAAGGTACCCATCCCTATCAATGCCACATACTGTTCCAGTTCAGGCCTAGTATCGAAACCCATCTGCAGGTCTCCGTTAGCCACCCTAAACGCTAATAAAGTCACAGCTGCTTCACAGGATGGCAGCAAGTCTGTAAAATCACATTCAGTCTGAATGTTACTCTGATTTTACCGTTTCACCTGATTTAAAACTAGTGTTGTCTGTAAACCTGCAGTTCAGTTCAGTTTGTTTTCTAGATCCAGGATTCACTTTACAGTGATCCACAGCAGAGTCCTGTTGGTGGTCAGCGAGGCGATCGGCTGGATTTACTTTGTGGCCTGGTCTGTGTCGTTCTATCCACAAGCCTGGGAAAACTGGAGGAGAAAAAGGTAGTTTGCTGTGTCTGTCACCTGCATTTTCTGGATATGTGGAACAGAATAGGGAGTAAAATATTACAGGTCTGCTATAGAAACATTAAAATAAGAGTAGCAGGCAAAAATAAACCTTTAAAAGGCGTCAACACTGAGATATATTTTGATTTGTTGCAGTAGACTCAGCTAGTTTCCAGCTTAACTGGTTTAACTGGTATTATTTATTAATCCAACTCGGAAGTACCCAACATTTTTCAACTGATCAAATGAAGCTGCACACCTACATGGTGAAGTACGGTATGTGCTGGGTGCCATCAAAGTGCAAAAGCATAAAATGAACCAAGTGTTGTTTAAAGAGTCGCAGGTCTGACCCTGTTTCTGTGGTTTTAAATCAAAACATCAGTTCACCACCAAAAGCTGTTCTTGTGCAGGGTCACTGCCATGTTCAGTAGAAATACATAATCATGTATACTTTTTTTGGATGTTTTCATACTTAGAATTTGCTCCGATTCCACTCCAGTGCTTTCTCCAAAATCCCCACTGGTATGACTGGAAAAGCTTTGAGCGCTGTTGAAAAGTTCAGCGCCTGAACGAAGCAGCACTCAGCCGCGGTGCTGGTCACAGACCATTACGTACTGGCTGCATTCGGATGTATTTGATCCTTTTGGTGGAGTAAAGCACCATCAGACTTTTGTTATTCACAACATAATTATTACCTCACCCAGTGGGACGCCTGGTATTCGCTCTCCTGTTAGCTTTATCTGGACATCACGCTGGACTCCTGCTTCCCACCAATGAACAAACCCTCATGGTAATTTATAGAATTATGCAATACCGTGCAAAGGTTTTAGGCAAGTGTAGAAAAATGCTGTAAACAAAGATTTCTTTCAGAAATATAAAAAAATTGGTTCATTTTTACTAATTTACAAATTACAAAGGGAGTGACCCCAAACATCCAAAGTCATTAAAGAGCAAGTAAATAAACTTAAATAAACTTTTTTTGCTGATAAACTAAATAAACGAGTGTCTAATCGTGCTGCAGACATGTGTCGTCAATAATTTGGCACTTCAGTGCATCTTAGTTAAAATTTAAATATTCTGCCTAAAACTGGCAGTGTTGTGCCGTTGTCAGGTAAAAACTCGGCACTATATTTGAATTTAAATCTGCCACCGCTATTGGCTTAGAGGTATGCTATGATGTAAATTGGTACATTATGATGTCACAATGCTGTCGTGAGCCTGTGTGTGTGTGTATTTGTTAGCAGCTCCGCCTTCTCGGTCTGCCAGGCAACAGCATTTGTTGCATTTTTCAAACATGAAGTGAGAGTGGAGATAGACTCTGGTAGGGGGTGACTTGCTCTTTAAGAACTATCTTCAGCATAAAGAAGTAGAAGAAGTCCTGGGGGTGATGGCCTGGCCCCCACAGAGCCCTGATCGCTGCATCATGGAGCGTTTCTAGGATTACACGAAGAGACAGAAGGATGTGAGGAAGGCCACACCCACAAAACACGTGCGGTTAGCTCTCCAAAGATGTTTGGAGCAACCTCCCAGCCCAGTTCCTTCAACAACTGTGTGCAAATGTAGCTGAAATAAATTGGAAGGCAAAATGTGTTCACAGCAAACATTGATCTTATTTAGACTTCTCTTTTGTTCATTCTCAGATTTTTGTCGATTGCTGAAAATAAATCATTAACTCTAATTCTTGAAAGCACTCTTTGTTTACAGCATGCTTTCACATCTGCCTAAAACTGTTGCACGGTACAGTGATCCCTCGCTACTTTGCGGTTCGTTTATCGCGGATTCACGACTTCGCGGATTTTTTCTTTGGAGCCTTATTCAAGGGAAATTCGCCGATTTGCGGTATTTTTCACCGATTCGCGGCATTTTTCTATGCGAAATATCAAGAAATTCCTGTTTTTTTTCTCATCAATTTCATCATAAAATGCACTTTTTGTAATAAAACTATAAAAAAACCAAGTAAAAAAATTTTTTTCTTGAGTTTTATCCACAAAAAGAGAATGTGATCATACGATAATTCAATATAGTACTGTACTGTAAATATGGTGTCCCTACTTCGCGGATTTTCACCTATCGCGGCCAGGTCTGGAACGCATCTACCGCGATAAACGAGGGATCACCTGTAATGTCTGTAGATGAAGTAACCAACGATAACTCTGAATAGACTCAAGCAGGTATGTTAAGTAGAAGCTGATGCTATTTCTCTGATCAGATGTTTGTTGTCCATCCAGATAGGGAAGAGTTTCCCCCAGGGACATTACAACGCTTTTATTTTCCTCGTGTGGGTCTAAATGGCTTTTGTCTACAGTGTTGTAGGTCTCAACTTTGACTTCCTGGCTCTGAACCTGACAGGATTCATAGCTTACAGCGTCTTCAACGTCGGGCTGTTCTGGGTACCCTACATAAAGGTAACGTCATCCTCCGGTCACCGGTCACATCCAGAACATCCCCCAGCCATGTTCAGACTACTCAGAGCTGAAAACAGACCATAATATGAACATGACTCTCTCAGCAGCCAGTCATCCTGTTCTAATAAATCATCAGGCATGCATGAGTGATTGGGTTAGGGTAAAAGGTCCCGTTTCTCTCCCCTTTAGCAGGTAAAGTGCTTTCATGACTCACACACCTGAGACTACAGGAGCAGGTTTCTCTCATCAGACCAAACTCTGCAGAGGAGCACAACCCCTGATGGGTCTCTCTCTGTTTTAAACCCTCCTCTGTTATTTTTCTGCTCTCAGATGTATGTCTTTGTTGTCATGGTGCAGGAAGCGTGTGAGCGTTTTAGAATCTTTACCAAACCTGTAGATCAGGATCACGTCGTGTCTTCAGATCGTGACCGGATGTGTAAAAGTTTGTTCAGTCGGTGTCGCTTTGTTCACAGGAGTTGTTTCTGGAGAAGAACCCCAATGGAATCAACCCGGTCAGTGCCAGCGATGTCTTCTTCAGTCTTCATGCGCTCCTCTTCTGTGTCCTCTATGTCAGCCAAGCTGTTGGTTATGAGGTACCTAAACACCATCCTGCTCCTAGCAGGACCACCTGCACCTACAAGAGAGAGGAGCTTTGAAGTGATGAAGACCAGCTGGAACCTTCTAAAATCCACCTGTGCTTCTTTGTGTTCCAGAAGGGGGGTCAGAGAGTCTCTTGGACTGCCAGGTTCTTGTTGCTGATTGGCTGGACGTTTGCTGTGGTCAGCTTGTTTCTTGCTGTAGCCAAACAGATTACCTGGTTGGATTTCCTGTACTTCTTCTCCTACATTAAACTTGCAGTCACGCTGGTGAAATACGTACCACAGGTAAGCTGATCGAAGGGACTCGTGCAGAAACGCAAACATTGTTCAGAAACAAAGATGCTCTGGACGATTGTTGTCTGATGGGTAAACTGAGTTTATGGTTACTGTAGCAATGAGTGCTGCTCATCCATCTGGTGTAGAAAAACGGACCAGAGATCATTACTGTTCTCTCTAGTTTAAAGAGCAAGTCACCCCCTACAATAAACTTACTTCACTCCCACTTCATGTTTGAAAAATGCAACAAATGCTGTTGCTTGGCAGACCGAGAGGGCGGAGCCGCTAACAAATACGCACACACACAGGCTCACAATGGCATTATGACATCATAATATACCAGATGACATCATAGCATACCTCTTAGCCAATAGCGGTGGCAGATTTAAATTCAAATACAGTGCAGAATTTTTCCCTGATGACGGCACAACACTGACAGTTTTAGGCAGAATATTTGAATTTTAACCAAGATGCACTGAACTGCCAAATTATTGACTACACGTGTCTGTAGCAAAGACACTCCTTTATATAGTTTATCAGCAAAAAAATGTGATTTGGGGGTGACTTGCTCTTTAACAACACACGATTATTGTTAAATGTTAAAGTTAAAGTCCCAACAGTTGTCACACACACTGATGTGTGTGTGCGACATTTGTTCTCCGCATTTGACCCATCCCCGGGGGGGGGGGGGGGGGGGGGGGGTAGGGGGGGGGGTAGTGAGCTGCAGGCACAGCTGCGCTCGGGAACCATTTGGTGGTTTACCCCCCCCCCCCCCCCCCCCCCCCCCGATCCAAGCCTTTAATGCTGAGTGTCAAGCAGGGAGGCATTGGGTCCCATTTTTTTCCCACGCTCCTTCTCCACGTTAGCAGATGCAACTGAGCTTGTGTGTGTGATCATCGTTCTATGGCTCCAAGACATCGTGGACATCTGACCTAATAAAGCCTGATGCTTCTCCGTCTGCGTCAGTGCGGAGACATGCAACGCCATTATCTGACCTTGCGTAGGGCTCCGGCAGGCACGCAAGTACGTACGGAGTCGAGCCCACTTTTTTAAACATCCGTCGAACGAGACGGATTACGCAAGCTTGTGATTGGTCAGGATGCCGCTGTTGTTTACAGCGCCGCCATTGCAAAGAGAGCCGAGGATAACCAGCGGCAGACACGGAGAAGCTTGAAGAATACCTCGCGAAAAAACTAAAAATATGAACGTTCAATTCTCCCGTGACTGGAGGAGTGAAAAGATGCGCAGCAAGCGTTTTATTTGTGGACGGAAATGACAGGAAACGTGGGTTTAGAGGTGGGGAGCGCATGAAGTGGTGGGAGAATGAGAGACAAATATGTCCGTGTTAAAAGTCTCTTATATACACAAAAAACACAATATAAACACACTATCTTGGACCGATACATGACAGGATACCACAGAACAGCGCTACGCCCTCTGTTGTCCTGCCGGGGAATTGCTTTGCAACACTCCCCAGGAGACAGAGAAGTATGAGAGCAAAACGCTTCCGTCAGTCCGTGCGTGTCTGTCCCTTGCGGAGCTGACGGAGAAGCATAAACCAGGCGAAGAACTGTGGTGGCCATCTTGAATCTGGCTGATCCCAGTGGGTGGTCCATCTTGTGAAGCACGGGTTATGTAGCTAACCAACAGAGGGTTGTAGGTGTGATTACTGGTTGCAGCCTTCCTGCTTTTTGCAGTTAGCATGTGGAATTAAATTGTTTATTTATGAAACCCCTTCCCATCCCCATTCAAGCAGGCCCAAGGTGGTGTACTTAAGGCAGATACACATAAAAACAATATAAAAGAAAAATTATGATAAAATAAAAGCATAAAATAATGAGAAAAAAAGCAATAAAACTAAAGAGCCAGGAAGCCAAGAAGAAACACTAAAAATATGAATAAAACTAGAAAACTGATCTAAAATAAAGCTCTAGTCTAGTTTTTGAATGGGCAGAGACGTAGACTGTTTAATCTCTGATGGTTCCAGAGCCAAGGACCTATAACTGAAAGTGTAACTTATACCTGAAAAAACACGACCACCGCAAGTCTTTTGACTGAGGAACCACTAACAGGTCACTCTAAACTGAGCGTAGAGTCCTCGCAGGGATGTAACGAGTCACAAGTGAAGCTAAATACGGTGGCGCTGACTCTGACACAGAGAGTTAAAATAAAACGCCAGGATTTTGACCAGAATGCTGTATTTCACTGGTAAACCTTTGCACTTTTTTGCTGCCCCACCTAGATTTTATCTGCATGTATTTGTTGGTTTTTAAATGGTTTTATTTTTTTTAATGTTTATTTCTGCTGTGCAGCACTTTGCTTGGTCCTTGGGCCATGTGAAGGTGCTGTATAAATAAAGTTTAGTAGTAGTAGTAGTAGTAGTAGTAGTATTAGTAGTAAACCAGCCCATGTTGTTGCCAATCCTGTGTGACTTTTATTTGGGTTCCCTAGAGTCCCTTCCACAGGCCAAAATATGCATGTTAGGTTAGGTCTTTCTGGATAAAAGCATCTGTAGAATGTATAAACACACAGCAGTAAGAACATCTTTACCCACATTTGGGCCGAGAGTGACAAGTGTGTGTGTGTGTGTGTGTGTGTAGGCATACATGAACTACAGGAGACAGAGCACTGAGGGATGGAGTATTGGGAACGTCCTGTTGGACTTCACTGGTGGAGGCTTCAGTATTCTCCAGATGATCATCCAGTCCTATAATAACGGTAATGATGCTGAACGAGGTACAGCTTTTATCTTCCTTCAATCAAAATAAAACAACAGCCTTATGGCATTTCCCCCACACTCAAAGCTCAAAGCTGTTTTGTCTGACAGCTGTGCAAGCCTTTTGTGATTTCCTGTCACAACCATGTGGTCATTCTCTTCTCTTAACTGATGGTCGTATCTTGTGTCTCCTCAGATGAGTGGATGCTGGTGTTTGGTGATCCCACTAAGTTTGGTTTGGGCCTCTTCTCAGTGCTGTTTGACATCATCTTCATGATTCAGCACTACTGCCTGTACAGACGGGTGAGACGGTATGAAGCTGTTCCGGATCTACAGGATGACTGACACCAGCTCAAATCCACACACTGGAGCAGAACTGTTCAGCTCAAGCTGTCTCACTAAAGACTTGCCGTTGGTCATCTTTGACCCCCCCCCCCCAGAAGTGCCTGCAGGCCTGTGATCCTGATGCTGATACTTCAGTGATGTTGTTTCAGAACCATCTCAGGAAGATCAGCTTGGCTCTTTCTTACACTCTTTACTGAGAGCATATTTAACATAATTAACTTAATGACTTAAAGCACTTTTTAACACACACACACACACACACTTTAGAAATGTAATCACGTGTTTATTTTTTCATGATTTGATCTCAAATGTAACAGCTGTAACAATGTGTTGTTAGACCTGATTAAATATGCTGATTAATGAGTTAATTTAATAAGTAAACCAGCTTTAATTGTGCTTTTATTAATATTATTGATATAACAATAATAATAATAATAATAAAAAAATAACATAACAAATGTATAGAAACGGCAAGAAAATAATCTGCTTTCCAGATAATGCTAATTTGTAGTTATGTATCATAAAGATAATTTTGTTTGTTTTTTAATTAAACTCCTCCATGGTAATATGTCTCAAGGCTCTTTGGATCACTGAAATCAATATCAGACACCTGAAGCATTTTCCATGCCAGTCCTGTTAAATGAAAGACTGCAGAAGAAGCACTTTTCTTTTCTGAAAAACAATCTTAATCCTCCCTCTCCTCATAATTAAAACTTAATGACTGTTATTATCATCATCATCATGATTAATAATTATAATATTACCGTTGTATTAATGTTATTTGTAGGAATCCACTCTAGGGGTATATTTGCAGAGGGGTCAAACCTGGATAGGTAAATTGATGCTGCTCTCATGAAAACACAACAGACCTCTGTCCTGTTGTCCCAGACTCCCATCAGTCTGCAGACAGGACAGTCGGGACAGCAGAAGACGCCACAATAACTGGTGGGAATGCAACAGGTAAGTAAAAAGCGCGCTCTCTCTCCGTGCGTGTGTGTGTGTGTGTGTGTGTGTGTGTTTCATATCACTAATGTTTGAATTTTATTCACAACAGCTGTTGATGACCCACGACCCTTTGATTCTGTAGTGTTTCTATGATTTGGACGCATACGCGTCTCCATAGCAACCAGCGCGAGACAGTCCCGACTAACTAGCAGCGCAAACCTAGTTAAGCAGTCAGACGGTCGGTAAAATGCCAAAGAAGAGATCTGAGCTAAAGGCTGAAGCCTTCACCATTAAGGCCACCATGAAAGTAGCCGCGGTGAGTAACGTCATGGCACGTCTTTTTCTTCTGTTTACTTTTGAAAACGCTTAAGCTACAAACACGGAGCAGGGGCAACGGGCAGGCATTCAGATGTTTAACTTAATTTAACAAAAATGGTTGAACTTTGACTACGTTATATATAAATGAGGGTTGTGAAAAATTCTGGTACACTTCCTGTAAATTGGGAAGAAAATTAGCTTTTAACTGTCTGAACTAGATCATCATGCTTCATGTTTGGTTCCAGATTGCCTTCGTGCTTATTCATGCTTGTCCACGGTCTCTAGTGGACATAAATATTAAACAATTAAATTGTAGCACCCTACAGACAATCTAATGAATCCATTAGTTGTTTTCCATGTCTACCGTAAATCCTCTAATACAGGCCCGGGCCTGTATTTGACTCAAACTCATCAAGCTCCAGGCCTTTATTGGAAGGAGGACCAGAATTAGAGACAGGCCTCAATTTCTATTTGAGCAAAATGAACTAATGGTTCGCTGGAGTTTTTGACAATTAATGTTGAGCCCACATTTTCAAAGTTAAACCCATTTCTTTTAACAACGATGGTTTCTGCTTCAGCCCTCTCCCCCCTCCCCCTGCGCAGCTGCCACAAACTCACTGATGCGCCTTCAGCCTCTCCAAGTTCCTGCTGCTCTAAACATTAAAATAATTATTTCATTTTCTGTTCTTCACTTCTGATTACCTTCAATGGTGTCTGTTTGTTGCAACCACCTGGTACAAAAACTAACTTGTTTTTGTTTGACTATTTTTCTGTCCTGTCTGTTTATTATCTTCCTGCATCTCCTCTCAATCCTAAAGAAAAACTGCTACCTGGGTTCATATATATTCACCTTATGAGTTACATTTGAACTGCAGTTCTAAAAGATCTACCGACCGCAAAAACAGCGGAGTGCTCGCCGGCCACATCAGTTAGGTGCGTCACCGAGGACAAAACAGGTGATGCGCCCCGATCCACAGCAGCGAAACGCATCAGGCACAAATAAAAGAATAAAAGACAGAAAACATAAAAGGAAATGAGCTGACATGAACGATCGCGTGTTAAATTAGTTTTTGAGGTGGCGACACCTGATTTGATCTTGTTACTGTGGCCGTGCTCAGGACGCAGATGTCTGGAGCGCGTCAACAATCAGAGCTTTGCATGCGCAAGCTGGTTAAGATTAGGATGGGGGTGAGGGGAAGGTTAAATTGCAAGAGGGAAAACGTCACAATTTGGTTAAATGTCTGTTTTACGGCGGGTGTCAGTACCGACGCTCTGGCACAGCGCGTTGCCTCCCGACGCGCAGGAGCTTGTCACCTGCTGAGAGCAGGCTGCTGTCTTTTCAGTGGACTGCATCTTGCCGGTCATTATCACGTGACAGCGACTAGTCGATGACAGGCATAAAAAGTCACTATAGTGCGGTGAAGTCGACTAGTGACTAGTTCATACAACCCCTGCTACTGCACCCCAGAGTGTTCTGCAGCATAATCAGCACATTCTCTTTGAACTTGATATCAAATTTTCGCCTCCTCTTCGTCTCCGCACGGTTAAAGTTACCCTCGCGGTCTATCACTGGCAAATCAAAAGTGAGACGGATGACACAACCGCCCCCCGTACTTGCTTGTTACCACATTCCACCCGGCCACAATAAAAAACCGGCCATTATTCACCTCCGCCGACTCCGACACCGGCCAAAATATGATACCCGGCAGTTAATTAAATACAGGCTAATATTAGAGGATTTACGATATTTTAGTTTATTTCTCAGTTTTATTTATTTTTTCATAATTATTGTTCTCCATCGTGTTTTTCTTTTACCAGGTAGTGGGCCCTCCATCTGCAGGGGCTTTTAAAGAGCGACCTGCCAAACCCACCATGCTCCGCAAATACTACCATCGTGGAGACCTGCCGGTCGTGGTTAACCACATCGGCAATGGAGGCAGGGCCATTAAATGGAAGGTAGCGTGTTTGATACCTTCATCCATGTGTCTGTGCGGCTCAAACTGGTGGGGTGTTCCACAGCCTTAGTGCTGCTTCAGAGGAGTCCAAGCCAAACATATTAAAATAAGTTCTGGATGCTTCAAGTAACATATGGCCAGTTTAGTCTGGGTGTAAAGGTGAGGCAGATAAGAAAATCAAGGGGAACAAACTCAACTTCATGAGCAAACTGAAAGCTGATGGATAAGGTCAGGTTCAATTCACTGTAGCTTGCTCCATGCTGTAGGAGCAGCACTTTTCTCTTCCCTTAAGGATTGATGGGTGAAAAATGCCACAGGGGCGTAAGGAATACCAGTTAGTAGTTCTCTGAAGTGCGGTGCCAAATAGTGCTCAACTGTAGCTCAAAATAAAGATCAAGAAAACTGGATGAGGTGTGAAGGGATGAACACGGGGAAGTGCAGATTGAATGTGAACCAGTGCCCTCTAGAAGGAGCTGCTGTAGAAGGTTGGGCCAGAGCTGGAGGAGGTGGCATGAATGAAGAACTTACCAGGGCCTGATATCAAGGGTATTTACTAATGGATTAATGCAGACATCTCTACCAATCATGGATGTAGTTTTGACTTTAGAAGTGGGGGGACACAACTGGCGTGACCATAAAACTGAAGGTGTGTGCCGTAGGGTGCAGTGGCTGAAGCATTAAGTCATAAAACAAATAGAGAATATGTAATTAACATTTCTGATGAGGTCAATTTCTGATTTCAGTTCCTGCACAGGAGCTGTGTTGTGAATGTGTCCCTGTTCTCAGGTTGATATTTACTCACTGGACTACCACCACTACCTGCCGCTGTTCTTCGATGGCTTGTGCGAGACGACTTTTCCTTGTGAGCTTTTCGCCCGCCAGGGAATCTATGAATTGTTGAAAATTGGAGGCCCCAAAATCCTTCCTGTCATTCCTCAGCTCATCATACCCATCAGGAGTAAGTCTCAGGAGGTCCTGACCTACAGGCACGTTTAAGCCGTGCGTTTGTGGATATGTGTGGTTATTTCAAACACAGTTTAATAGCGTTGCTAGGAATAGCTGATAGTGGCATTTTTTTGTTGCAGATATCCGATGTACCGATACAGTCTAACTCTTAATTTCTGATATTGATATGTCAATATATTTGGGGTTCCCTCATAAAGACTAACAACAAACTAATTCCTTTTAAGTTACTCATATCACATATCACATACTTCAGTTTTAATCATTTGTACAAAATAGGACAACTACTTTAAGTTAGGCCAGTTGTGCCAAACAACCAAATATATGTAAAAAAAACTTTACCTCGGCTCTGACTTTTGACGTTTTGATTGGGAGGAGAAAGAGCTGAAGACTTTGGTGTGTAATATGTACGTGGTATGTAGAAGTCGTCTCATTAAAATAATAAAAATGGATTCCTTTTAATGCCCGCATCGGCCAGTAAACATCAGACACGCCCAAACTGTTGATGAAGCTTCAGAAACCACAGTAACCTGTTTGTCTTTAATTTAGGTAAATGTCTTATTATTTTCTGAACAAAATTATGTTAGTAAGAAAAATATCTTATGAACTGCAAGAAAGATTTTTATGCAACTTATAAAATCCTGACAGACTTTTGGCGTCAGCTCAAAACAAGGTGAACATCAGAGCTAATCAGCATTAGCCACGGCGAAAAGTACGTCAGTCAGGTAAAGTCCAGGTCAGTCCCAGGGCCCTCTGAATGTCTCATTACTGACACATCTGGAAAAGAACGACTGCCAGGATTCCTACGAACAAGAGGCTCCAGCTTTCCGTAGAACTATGGTACTTTTAAGTACAGAGATGAAACTTTGTTTTTTTTAACAAAGAGTATTGATCAAATCAAAGAGTATTGACTACTGAACTTTGTTCTTCATCTTGCTTTCCAGATGCCATGAACACGAGAAACCATCAAGTGATGTGCACAACCCTTAGAGCCATTCAGCAGCTGCTGCAGTCTGCGGACGGGGTGGGGGAGGCCATGGTGCCTTACCTCGGACGAATCCTGACTGTTTTTAACATCTTCAAGAATAAAAATGGTGAGTTCAGGTGAAGAGTTGAACATTCATACAAGGACAGATCTGAAATTTAGAGAGTCTGAAATTTAGGCTGGTTCCTTTATCCTGATAAATTTTTTACATGTGCAGCAATTAAAACATATTAATTATGACCAGTAAGATGTGATGATTTCATATAAAAATAAAATATCAATCTGATTGATCTTTGATTGTTTAATCAGAAGATTCTAGGGTTCTTTGCTTCTTCAGGGACCATAATCACACTTCATATTAATTCAGACAGTCAAGTAAAGAGTCAGGTACAGTTTAGTTTAGAAAATGAATTTAATTCTTTTCCCTAAACTAATAATTTATACATGACAAGATATGAATATTGAGATGTGGTGGATGTGAGGTGTTGTGATGGAAGCTAGATGTTGTAGCAACCGTTCTTTGTAGAGGAATTGTGAAATCTGGGTGTGTTTGTTTGTTATAAACTAGAGAGTTAGTTATTGATTAAAAAAACTCATCAGACATCAGTATGCAGGCTTACGATACCCTTGTGTGAGTTACTCCCGGCAGTCCGGAGGGTTGCGGTCAGAGTGGTGAGGTCACTGGACGTCGAAATCACAATACTCAAATCAAATCTAATCAAATCACCTTTATTGTCACGTCACATGTGCAGGTACACTAGTACAGTACGTGCAAGTGAAATTCTTGTGTGCGAGCTTCACAGCAACAGAATCATGCACAAAAAAAAAAAAAAAACGAACCCGACAAGATATATAATGTACAGAAGTTGGTATGTACAAACAGTGGCCTTCATATACTGTGTGGCGTGTGTAATGTTGAAGTTCCAGTAGTGAGGGTGAGGTGTCTATGTAGTGTTCAGCAGTCTGATGGCCTGATGAAAAAAGCTGTCTCTCAGTCTGCTGGTTCTGGACCGGATGCTGCAGAACCTCCTTCCTGATGGAAGTAGTCTGAACAGTTTATGGCTGGGGTGAGTTGAGTCCTTGATGATCCTCCCCGCTTTCCTCAGGCACCGCTTCCTGTAGATGTCTTGGAGGGAGGGAAGCTCACCTCCCATTATCCTTTCAGCACACCACACTACTCTCTGGAGAGCTTTGCGGTTGTAAGCGGTGCTGTTGCCATACCAGGTGGTGATGCATCCGGTGAGGATACTCTCAATGGCACAGCAATAGAAGGTCCTGAGGATGCGGCGGCTCATGCAAACTCAGATTAGTAGCTTCCTCTGAGTTCAGCTTCCTCAGCCATGAGATGCAATCCGGGGTCTGCAGGTTAGGTGTCCCAGGTGGATGTCTGAGAGTTGAAGTAGCTCTGAAAAGAGCTGTTGTGTCTGTAATCACTTGCAGCATCGCAGAAAGGTTTTGACTTAAGGTCAAAGGAGTTTGTTTCAAAAAAGGCTTCTTTCCCGATTTGGCCGAATCGGGGTCAGCAGGAAACTGAATTAATCGGGAAGTAAATCTTGTTTTATGAAACTACTTTGTTATGATTTCTGGCCAAGTTTGGCCAATCAGAATTTGACACGTTTCTGAGTATTTACCAACATCCCTCAGAAAGCCACGCCCTCCTCAGATACAAAAATGTTTTTAAACACTGTGAATGAGAATGATCAAAACCTTATGTGAGGTGCATTTTAACCGTAATGAGTATCTTATTGTAATGTGTATGAGTGTAAACAATGATTAACTTGTTAGATCAAACACAGTGATTTGTGATATAAATGGATCATTGTAAGAACAATATTCATTTTAAACCCATCATTGATTTAAGCACCAATTATTCAAATATTTGATTTAAACACCTTGCTCATTCAACACATGTGATTATTGTAAGCTTATGAGTTGTAAAAGTCATGGAGTCTTCCCTTATTCAGAGTGAAGAATGTTGACGTCTGGCTTTCATGCAGAGTGAAGGACCTTGGGAGAGAATGTTTGTCTGGATGTTTTGTTTTCTGTATGTAAACGCGTGCTGAGCAGAACCTTCTGGATTTAGAAGGCCGAACAGAAAGTGGATTTATTTCTGTAGACGAAAGGTTACGTTGGTCAATATACAGTATAGGTGGAAGTTGACCCTTTTGGATGTTCCACTTGTTATCATTTTGTTCAACTCAGTTTAGTTTAGTTCAAATTAGGAATGTCTTTTGCTCCTTATACTGATCCAGGTCATTCAAGTAGGACTTCAGTAAACTCCGATACCAAGTCTCAGTCAGTTACTTGTAATTTTATGTTTTTAAATATCTAAGAGGACAGACCTTCTGACTGTAGACCATCAAAGTTACCTCATGTGTGTGTAGAGGACCACAGAGCGGGAAGACAGTTCATCTCCACACATCAGAGTCTGTCTCTGCTAACGCTTCTAAAAATCATTGGTCTGTTGTAGAAATAAGTCACTTTACAGTGGATCAGAGGGTTCAGAAAGTTGGTGGCTTGATTCCAGATTCCCACGGAATGCTGAAGTGTCTTTGGGCAAGATACTGAAGCCTTATAGACACCGCCCCCTCAGGTCCATTGATCAGTGTAGCGTATTGGTTTATAGCTCTTTTATGAAAGATGAACCATTCTACATAATAATCTGGAATATTAATTTTAATAAATTAATAACCAAATTTATAGAGATAAGAAGACTCAAAGATTGTTTTCATCGATAAACCGACGATCATATCCGGTTGTCTGTGTTTCAGTTCAATGAAAAGACAAGTTTGAAGTTTAAGAGTTTTAATTCTTCAATTTAAACCTATATGGCAACCCATATTTCCTCACGTTACATCAGTGAAAGTGACCTAAAGCACCTTTGAGTGGTCAGAAAGACTAGAAAGTTCAGTTCATTTACAGCAAACACAAGCTGTTAATGTTAAAATAAATCATGTGCCGGATTGTTTTTTTCCTCTTGTTCAGAAAATTGTGGAGACGAGGTCGGCAGAGAAAAGACCATTGGGGACCTGATCAACGAGACTCTGCAGATGTTTGAAGCCTATGGAGGCCCAGAGACCTATAAAGTGATCAAATACATGGTCCCCACCTATGAGTCCTGCATGAACAAGTGAAGGATGGGTTCCTACAGACTTTGATTGTATTTCTCATATGTCTGATTACTTGGTTTGTTTAAATACCTTGAATTATAGCAGCTATTAAATATACCAACATGTAGAAGTTTTGTATTTTTTGTTCTTTAGTTTAAATCATAACAATGACTGGTTCTTTGTTTTTGCTTTAAAGTTCCTTGAAAACTTGGTCAATTTTAAAGTAAAACATTTTTTCCAGTTTCCTCCACGTTGCTTAACTCTGAACTGGAATGCTTGTTCATGTGTCCACCACAATGATATAAAACTATCCTTAACGCCTTAAACTCATTTACATCTTCCACAGAATCATAACCTGGCAGCAGCCAGAGCTCTGTGTGTAGCCCCGCCCAGTGTGGAGTCTAAACTTTTACCCCGAGTTTAAAACTCTTGCAGCACAAAGTTAACAAAAACATCCTGCTCATTTTGATAGGGTGTTCTGCCTGTCTGGAAAGCAGCAGCTCAGGAGGTGCAGTGAGTTGTCCAGTAGTCAGAAGGTTGTAGGTTCAGTCCCAGCTCCTGCTAGAGAATGCTGCTGTTGTGTCCTTGGGCAAGACATTTAACCCACCTGGCCTGCTGCTGGTGGTCGTACGGACTGGTAGTACCTGTGCTCGGCAGCTTTGCTGTTTGTCAGTGCTTCCCAGGGCAGCTGTGGCTACATCGTAGCTCATCCTCACCAGCGTGTGAATGACTGATTGTTGTGAAGTGCTTTGGGGGTTGTAGAACCCTAGAAAGCACTATACAAACGCAGGCCATTTACCACACCCTAATAGCACCTGGAGGTAATTCTTCACCAGACTAATGGTTGAACTATACTTAACCACACTCTTAATGCCGATCCAAAAATCGGCTAAAAGCGTCTTCGCCACACACGCACACACACACCCTAGTGAAACACAACCCTTCTCAGACGCTAACTGTCTTCATAATGTGTTTAAAATTATTTTATTTTTATTGATTCTATGTTTATATAGAAGGATCAGCACCTTTAGGCAAGCAGCCATTTTATCTCATTGTGCATATGACGTGTCCTGTTATTGTACAATGACAAATAAAGCTATTCAGAATAATTTAACGCAACAAACTCTACCCTTTTCATTTGACATCAACAAATCTTTTTTTAAATCACAAATCAAAATCCTTTAATCACTTTTTTAATCATTAGTAAACTGTCAATGTGTGACTCTGTTCTACAAATGAAACTAGATCTGTTTTTAAATCTTTTTACCTTAATTTCAAGTTATTTCATTATATTGTTCATAACTATTGTATTGGTAACCTTCCACTGGAGAGCAGACATCATCTGCTTTTGACTCGGATTAGAACCAAGCCTGTAGCCAGACCCTTCAGATTATGTTTATTTGAATGAATCAGCTGACCCTAATGAGGTCAGAACTTGGGCGACTCGTCGACATGAACAACCCGACTGATTACTGAGGGTTCAATACACTGAAACTATTGATTATTTGAACTGACAGATTTTAGAAATACAGAAATGCATCTGTCAGTTTGATCAGTTGCTGCAGTCATAATGTTGGTTAATTTGAGTTTTTATATATTTTTTTCTGGTTCCCTTTGAATCCAACAAAACAAGAGACTAAAGTCATTTGAGCCCAGCGTGACTCAAACATCCAAATCAGATTTGAGTGAATTACGAGTCTCTGGGTTCTGCTTCCGTTTTTATCCTAACCCCGGCTTTCCACCAGAGCCGTCGGCAGCCGTCAGCAGCGCGAGTCGGCTGCGTCTCAGGAGCAGCATGTCGCGGCCTTTACGCGCCGGTTCTATTTTCTACGCGCGACGCCTCTGAAACGGGTCAAGTTCGACATTTTTGGGAAAGGAAAGACAGGAAATCGGACGCGGAGATGGAGAGAAGCTCCCGAGATTTTCAGAATAAAGAACGTACTGCCTTCCGGTTGCTTTACTTTTAAAAAAGGTTACTAACTGTGCGGCCCCGTGAGAAGTTATCACCTAGCTAGCGGTCTCCTTTGTTTTTCAGGTCCGTATTGGCGATTATAAAACGGACAGAACATAAAACACAAACCATGTTGTAGATTTCTCCTGCTTGTTGTTGTGTTTACTGACGAAGTCACTCGTGTGACTTCGTGCTCGGTCGGTGACAGCTGCTCCCCTGCTGCTTCGCGTCTCGTGGGAAGGACCAAGCAGCAGTTTACGCGAGTAAGACGTGCTGCTGCAGTAACGTGCTGCTGACGGCTCCCGTGGAAACCCGGGGTTAGAACCCAACGGCAACAAAGTGATGCCAAGATGCTTTCTATTCAAATGAATAGTTCTGTCTGCACAGCAGCAGGAAGGAAGGCAACGCCGACTCCAATCAAACAGGAAAAATCACACAGAGACAGAAAAGGTTCACAGACTTTTTTTCCTTGATCCTGACAGAGCCGGGTCACGATCAGATCCACAACACCCAGGAAGCAAACGGCATCATGTTACAGTGACAGCTGTTCATCACTACTGTTCGACTTCTGGAGACGGGCGCTGTTGATGATGATGATGAGAGCTGGACTCGCTGTCTGCTGACTCGTCTCACACACAGAGTTCTGCTCCGTGGGTCTGGCTAAGACCCGCGGCGTATTCAGGTTGTAGACTCCGGCTCTAAAGAAGCAGGCTCTCAGAGTGAGGCTCACCACCTCCTGCTGACCCAGCTGCAGCTTGTACTGGGTCTGACCCACCCAGGAGAACGAACCGTGGACCTCCAGAGATTCTGAGCTGCAAAACACAAGAGGAGAACTAAAGACTCCGACCGGACCGGCCGAGGACCAGGCTCTGTTCACACGGCAGGTAAACCTGGCTCTGGTTCTCAGACGTTTCTAGTGTCTCTCTCCTTGTGTGTGTAGCAGAACTATCCAATTCCACTGAACGGAAACGAACGGTTCTGAATCAGACTCTTACCTCGTGCTGTTGTGTCTGAGGTCAATGATGACATCGACCAGTGCCACAGAGCAGTTGGACAGAGTCAGCGTTACTGGGACCAAGCAGAGACTGGAGACACAAAGAGAACTAGCTTTACATCTTATACCTTTATGACCTGTGACCTCATTACCACAAATACCAACAAAGATTTTAAAATACATTCAAGTGACTTTGACCACGATGTGTGGGGTTGTGGCTGAAAATGTTCTGAATGGACCTTTCAGGTTTTTTAAGGACAAAAGAGAAGACAGTGAGACCGATCTAAAAGCGTAACAACATTTATTAAAGAATTTTCAGACAAACTGGGTCATAAGCACGTAACTGGGTAAGCGGGGATCCTTCGCTCCACTCAAGAATGTCCCTGTTCTTGCTTCCTGTAGTCTGGGCCCTTCCCTTTCTCCTATTGGACGTTAAAATCATTTTATGCACCTAACTGGTCTTAAGGTCTCTCCCTCATGTGCATAACCTCAAAGACTCCCTAACCTTGTCCTCTGCTGATCTCTTGGGCTCAGAGCTGGGATTGTTGCCATGGCATCCAACCACAGTGTCAATCCTTCCTCAGATCCCTCACTAAAAAACTTTCTCCCTGCACATGGACTTCTGGGAGTTTCCATTTAGAGCTAGTGACTCAGTGAGATTTACTGTAACCTGCCAATGAAACAATTTTACAAACAAACGAGACTACTTAGTATTAACTTTGGTCTCAACGGTTTGAATTTGCTAGACAGGAAACAACAGAAGCAACACTTTAGTGTGGGCATGTGATGAAAAGGCTTTAGGAAGAATAACTTGTCTAAATGTCCAGATGAGAGAGAAAAGCCCTCCTTCTGGCCTCCGTCCAGAGAAATAAGACGTAAAGTCCTTCAGGACTAATGAGCTAACAGCTTGTGCGAGCTAACAGCTCATCTAAGCTAACAGATATGTGAGCTAATAGCTAGTCAAGGCGCTAGTGTGAGGTGACAGCTGGAGTAAGCTAACAGCTAGTCTGAGCTAAAGGGTGAAACAAGGGTGCTGTATGTCAGGATTTTTGTTCCTACTGGTGACAGATTGGGTCACGAGGAGAACTGTGGTGGGTAAAAGAACCGGAATCAGATGGAACTTCATGACCATACTGGAGGATCTAGACTATGCAGATGACATTGCCCTACTGTCCTCAATAATGGCACATCTTCAACACAAAACAACTAGGCTGGAGAAGAATGCAGCTAAAGTTGGACTGAGGCTGAATGCTGGAAAGTGTAGGATCATGAAGGTGAACAGTAAGAGGGAAGATAAGCTGAAAGTGGGAGAAAGAGAAGTGGAGGAGGTGGAGAGCTTCACATACCTGGGGGCAAGTGTCACTAAAGATGGTGGAGGCACAGCGGATATCAAGAGGAGGGTCGGATTGGCAAGTGTAAGGCACAAACAGCTTTCAAACATCTGGATGGCCAGTGACATCAGCAAAAAGACAAAGACTTCTCTGTTCAAAAGCCTCGTACTGTCAGTGTTACTATATGGGCGTGAGACATGGAAACTGACAAAGGGAGAAGAAAAGAAACTCGACGCCTTCCAAACGAAGTGCCTAAGGAGGATCTTTAAGATCCGGTGGCAACAGCATGTTTCCAACAAGACAGTGCTAGAGATGGCACAGACAGAGAGGATCAGCGATGAGGTGAAGAGGAGGAGATGGAACTGGATCGGCCATGTGCTGCGAAAGGAGGAGACGAGCGACTGCGCTGTGGCTCTAGGTTGGGCGCCTGAAGGTCGAAGGAAAAGAGGCCGACCTAAAACAACTTGGCGGCAAGTGGCCGAGGCAGAGAGAAACAGAGCAGGATGGTGTTCATGGAACTCAACAAGAAGTGCAGCTGGAAATCGATCCCTGTGGAAAAATGATGTCCTTGCCTTATGTGCCTCCTGGCACAGAGAAATGATGATGATGATAGTCTGAGCTAATGGCTAAGTTGTGTGAAATCAAAGTATGTAGCTGTATTGAGTTTAAACAGCTACAGTCTCCTGAACCTCTTATGGGTTCATGTGATGTGATTTCATAAATCTTTACACCACCCTCAATTTAACATCACACAGATGTTTTCAGAATTATGGCAATCTTCTAACTGAGCTTCATTTAGCTGCTGTTAATATGCTTGTAAACAATCACAGAATTTCATTTACAGAACATCACAATTGCTTTTATTGTATTCTATAGTGTAAAGTATGCATCAAAAGAAAATATTGGCCAACGCCCACCCCCTCAGCCCCAGTAGGGCTCTTCCACCACCTCCTCCACCACCCCCTGAGCCCGAGAACCAACACATTTCCTAAACAGTAGAAAGATATTCCAGCTGAAGATCTCAAATAACCTTCCAACAGGGTTCTCACCTGTCCTGGACAAAGTGATGTGTGAAGGTTTCTGGGTAGTGTAGGCTAGTTTTGATGAGCTGGGAGACTTCTGGAAAGGGCAGTACAACTGGAGGAGGCAACTCAGACTTAAACTTGAGCAGCACCATTTCCTGGGATTCCTACAAACACACAATCATACACAAACTCGGCTGGAAACAGGAAGCTGAATTTTCATTATGACATTTGTGTTGGAACATCAGTAGGAACAAACCGTTGAATCCATACACGAGCAGAAAAAGAACAAAAACCAGTCTGTAGTCGGACGTCCAGTTCTAAAGGTTAAACCAGGTCGTCCGCAAATGTACTGAACCTGGACCTTTTTAAGAAGACTTGTGTAGCTGTCAGGGGCTGCACGACATAATTTTTTTTAAAGTCGACTGTCAAGTAATGAAAATCGAGTCGACTTTGACTAGTCGTTGATGACGTCATACAACTGAAGCGACGTGGGGGGGGGTTCGCTGGAGTTTTTGACAATTAAAATTGCGCCCACATTTTCAAAGTTAAACACATTTCTTTTAACAACGGTAATTCCTGCTTCAGCCCTCTCCCCCCTCCCCCTGCGCAGCGGCCGCAAACTCACTGATGCGCCTGCAGCCTCTCGGAGTTCCTGCTGCTCTAAACATTAAAATAATTATTTCATTTTCTGTTCCTCACTTCTGATTACCTTCAGTGGTGTCTGTTTGTTGCAACCACCAGGTACAAAAACTAACTTGTTTTTATTTGACTATTTTTCTGTCCTGCCTGTTTATTATCTTCCTGCATCTCCTCTCAATCCTAAAGAAAAACTGCTACCTGGATTCATATATATTCACCTTATGAGTTACCTTTGAACTGCAGTTCTAAAAGATCTACCGACCGCAAAAACAGCGGAGTGCCGCTGCTCGCCGGCCGCATCAGTGAGGTAAAGTTATTGGAGGACAAAACAGGTGATGCGCCCCGCTCCACAGCAGCGAAACGCATCAGGCGCAAATAAAAGAATAAAAGACAGAAAACATAAAAGGAAATGAGCCGACATGAACGATCGCGTGTTAAATTAGTTTTTGAGGTGGCGACAACTAATTTGATGTTACTGTGGCCGTGCTCAGGACGCAGATGTCTGGAGCGCGTCAACAATCAGAGCTTTGCATGCGCAAGCTGGTTAAGGTTAGGATGGGCGTGAGAGGAATGTTAAATTGCAAGAGGGTAAACGTCACAATTTGGTTAAATGTCCGTTTTACGGCGGGCGTCAGTACCGACGCTCTGGCACAGCGCGTTGCCTCCAGACGCGCAGGGGCTCGTCACCTGCTATCTTTTCCGAGGACTGCATCTCGTCACTCATTATCACGTGACAGCGACTAGTCGCTGAAAGGCATAAAAAGTCACTACAGAGCAGTGAAGTCGACTAGTCGACTAGTTCATACAACCCCTAGTAGCTGTTTGAATAAACTGACCTGAAGTCAGTGAACTGATGAACCGTACTAATGTGATTTGAAGAAGATGAAACCTGATCCTCATTGGTGCATCATGCTGACTGAGCTCGAGGCAGATCAGATGTTACAGTGTTTGCCGTACCTCTTTAGGAACCAGAGAACTGGCCTCTTTACCAAACGAGTGCAGCGCCACATGGAGCTGCCCCTCAAGGATCAGCTGTTTGTTGTCTTCAATGACGTACGCCTGCGCACACGCACACACACACACGCACACACACACACACACAAAGGTACACAGACTGATTACTGCCAGACTGTAACAAGTAAACCCCTAAATCTAACCAATGTGAGGAACAGACGTTCAGAAAAAAACAAATCCTGATTCAAGCTGCTGTGTGAGGATCTCAATAAAAGTACAGATTAATTCAACACTAATGTTTCTTTGATGGTTTTTATGATTGTCACATTTCATCTGATGTGTTCAGCTCCTTGGGCGTCTGCTTCGCTCGTGGAAGGGGCTTTATAAATGAACAGATGAATTAAATAATCGTGTTCATGTGGTCACACGCCAGTCCTCTACACCACTTGATCCAAGACAGCTGGGATTTTATCCAAAGGTCCGACCATCTGCATCAGAGGGTTCTGATCACAGAGTAGAACCAGGAGCTAGAACCCAGCAAAGGGATTACGAACCTTCCAGATGACAATGATGTTGAGGTCCAGGTCATTACACTTCCTGGTGACGCTTGTGAGGTTGGTGCCGGAGCCGCTGGGGGGAGCAGAGTACAGACTCCTGCTGTTACCTGATGTCCTGGAATTAACATCAACCTGCTGGAGTGTTGATGTGTTGCAGCAGCGGAAGAAGAAATCTCCACAGGGTGTGGAAGAGCTGATGATCTGCACACAGACATGGGTCCAAGTTAGGGAGATTGGAGACCTACTGGGAGGAGCCTGAGCCTCCAGAGAGGTGGTTCATCTCTAAAGCCTGGCTGGAAAAACCTGATCTCAAAGAGAACAGGTTCTACGGTTCTGATGTTACTTTTGGGCCATTCCCATCTGTACCGGGTCGGCGCGGGCCGGGTAGCGTAGGTTGTTTACATATCTGGGTGGCCTGGTATTTTTCCGGGCCAACCAAGGCTCATTTTCAGCCCTTTTCTCGAGGGGGTCTGCTTCAGGCCGACCAGGGCCAACACACCCACTGCTGACAGCAAATTCACACCTTCCATTAGAGCAAGCCTCTGATTGGTGGGTAGAATCAGCCCACATGGGCTTAAGGCAAGGATGTGTGGACTCAACCGGGCCAGGCTGGGGCCGTCTGGGGCTACACGGCCCGGGCCGACCCGGTACAGATGGGAATGGCCCATTAGTGAAGCCGGGCAGGCATGTAGCTCAGTGCTCGTTCACATCAAAGTTACATTTCACTAAACAGTTGACACGTTTCCTGCCCAAAATCCATCCACAAAACACACACATGAAGTTAAAGGAGAGAAAAAAAACTCCTCTCAATTCAATAAATAGCAGCAAATTTTAATTTACCCGTTCATTTCCCAGGCTCAGATCTGCAAAGATGAGTTTATCAACGTTGTCCAAGTTAGCTAAAAGCAGAAGAGTCAAATATGTACCCGTTAAAAATACTCCAGCCCTCAACAGTGGTGTCACAATGAAGTACCTTCCTTTACAATGTTCATTATGTCCTCTTTTTTTATTCTAAACGAGGTTCTTTTCGTTTCGGACATGAAGGTGTTTCGAGTTACCTTGTCATGTTTCGACCGTTGGCTGCGGTCTTCCTCAGAAGTGTCACAGGTGTTTGTGGGACGCGTCTTTATCAGCTGTTCTTCTGGTGGGCGTGACCGACCCGGGTCACGCCCACCTCTGCTGGCCGGTCTCTGGAGAAGGGAATCCCAGGTGCGAGACAGCTGATAAACCCCCTCGTCTCTGTTCATGTTCCAATGTTCCCGTTTCCTTATTTCTATTGCCTCCCTGACCCAGCGGTTGTTCTCCGTGTTGATAATTTTTCCTTGACCCCGTCCATGATGTGGTTATTTTGTTTGCAATGATCTGAGGTGGCTGACTTGAGGGTTTGCTCCTCTGCTTTTTTCTTTGTTGTCCCTGTGAGTCTTTCTGTTGTTTCCTTCTTGCATTCCTTCTGGTGCTCTTTTCTTCTCATGTCATATGTTCTGCCGGTTTCCCCTAAGTATGTTTTATTGCACGACATGCAGAGTATTTCGTAGATTACATTGCATTTCTTGTCTGGTTCTGTTTAGTCCTTGGGGTGTACTAGTAGCTGTCTGAGTTTCATGTGAGGTTTGACGGTTGTGTCGATTTGTTGTTTTTTCATTGCCCTTTGTGTACGTTCTGCGGCTCCCCAGATATACGGAATTGTGATGGTGTCCGTGTCCGTGTGGTCTAGTCTTTGTCTTTGTTTTCTTTTTTTGGTCTCTCTGTTTTTTTAATTTACTTTGACTTGTTGTTTTCCTTTTTCTATGGCCCATTTTGGATACTGACAGAGGGTTAGTGCTTGTTTGATGTGTTCTTCTTCCTGTTTGTGGTCTGTTTCATCTGTAATGAAGCTGGTCCGTTCCTATAATGTTCTGACTACTGATAGTTTGTGTGCCGTGGGGTGTTCAGATGTCCATAGCAGATATTGGTCTGTCAAGTCAGCCATCTCAGATGATTGCAGATGAAATAACCACATCATGGACTGGGGTCAAGGAAAAATTATCAACACGGAGAACAACCGGTTCAAGCGCTGGGTCAGGGAGGCAATAGAAATAAGGAAACGGGAACATTGGAACATGAACAGAGACGAGGAGGCCTATCAGCTGTCTCGCACCTGGGATTCCCTTCTCTGAAGACCGGCCAGCGGAGGTGGGCGTGACCGACCAGGTGGATCTGACAGATCCGGGTCGGTCACGCCCACCAGAAGAACAGCTGACACTTCTGAAGAATACTGCAGACGACGGTCGAAACATGTAAAAGGTAACTCGAAACACCTTCATGTCCGAAGCGAAAAGAACCTTGCTTAATAAGATGAAGTACCTTGACGGGGTTTGCACCGTGTGGCCCTGAAACAGAGCTTAGCTCTTTCTCTGCTGCTCAGTTTACAGTCTGCAGGAGAAAAAAGCAAAGGCTTACTCATTATGTTGTTAGATGTTGGTAAAATTATCACCAGGTTCAAAAACAGAGTAACTAAACCTTCTCAGATTATCTAACCCCCAAATTCCACTACCTCCGCTCCACTCCGGTCCGCCCCCGCCTTCCGCAGCCGCTCGCTTCCGAACTCAATTTTTACTGGTACCCGCTCTACAACGGCTCCGCTCCGGTGCGGAGACCTGAGGTGAGCAAACAAGCATGCGTGGGATTTTCGAGATCTTGCGATACAGTCCGAGCAATAAACGCGGAATTTAGATCCAAACACCCGTTGTGTGGGAGAAGCATCGAAATGAGCTGTTTAATCTACCCATCATTTGTGTTGAGAGATCAGCAGTGTTTGGATCAACAAAGTGTGACTACTTTGATAGTAGAAACTGTATTTATGGCTTACTTTTGTGCATTTAAACTTCAGCCGCCATTGATAGTTGTTAAAAGTTGTTAAACCTGTGCATATGAAACAAAAAACGCCTTTTGTTTATCGATTTATTGTGAAAAACGGAAGCTGTGCTTGCTCCTTTTCCTGTTGGGTGGTTGTGATTTCTGTCCATTTACTGCGGAGGTGCTCCGGCGTCTGGCAAAAATAAGATCGATTCTATTTTTGCCGGACGCCGGAACAGAGGGCGGCGCACGGCGCCGCACTGCCGGAGCACAGCCGCAGTAGTGGAATTGCTCTGATTGACTAGAACGGGACCTATTTTGCTCCGGCGTTCGTGTCGGAGCGGAGCGGAGGTAGTGGAATTTGGGGGTAGACTCAATAGCAAATCAACATCATAGTACAATACAAATAAGAATACCTGCAGCTATGTCAGCATTAATCAGAAAGAGAAGAAGAAGAGCTCAGGCGTACCATTGTCCTTAGTGGGGGTGATGTACTTGTGGAGGCGCCAGTGATGACTGCTGCTGGACACCTGAACGATGTGGAACTCACGCACACCCCCTTCACTCTGAGAGACACCACAGTGAGACCAGTAAGCAGAACTAAATGGGTCCAGCAGGTGAACACACTCACCATGTTGACGTTCTCCACATCGATGAACACCAGCGTTCCCCTGCTGCCTTTGTCATCTACAGAGTGAGGAGGAGGAGCGGTGCTATGGAAAGCCGAGGCCTGAACATTCAGAGAACGGCTGGCACAGATGAACACTGTGTGGCGCAACACTCGATGACTTTATATGAGAAAAAACACACACGATTATTTCTGGTTCCAGGTTAGTGCTAATACAGGATCAGTGGTTTTACTGGTTCAATGCCTGCACCAGTATGGACACCATCTCATATTAAAACTCCTCAAAAAGATCGTAAGTACCAACGTTACAGCAGCTATTTCAAGTCTTTTAAGGATAGGAGAGGTTGACACTAGTGAATATTTAGCTAGAGCTCAGGATCCGGTTCCCTTAGTGACGGTTTAATTATCACATCCATAAAAGCCAGAGGTGCAAACCGGTGGGACTCAAAATAATTAGAATTTAGTGCAAAAGTTCATTAATGTCAGTAATTCAGCTTAAAAAGAGAAATTAATACATGATATAGACTCATTACATGCAAAGCCAGATATTCCAGCCTTTATTTGTTTTAATTGTGATGATTATGGCATACAGCTGATGAAAACCCCACATACAAAATCTCAGACAACTAGAATATTGTGTTAAGGTTCAATGATCGGACCAGTGACGACATGTTTAGCCACATGCTGTTATACCGCTGGTTGTCTAGGTGGTGTCCTGAAAACAACGTGGGCTACATTGATAATTGGGAAACTCTTTGGGGGAAAACCTGGTCTGATGCAAAGAGATGACATCCATCCCTCTTTGGATGGAGCAGCTCTTCTTTCTAGGAACATGGCCAGTTTTATTAGTCCTCCATGAGAACCCAGGGTCCAGACCAGGAAGCAGAGTCGTAGTTTAACACACCCCTCTGCAGCTTCTGTACTGTTACCCACCCGCTACCCCACTGAGACAGTTTCCTGCCCACGGCCAAAACCACACAGATTAAATATCAGGCTTAATAAAGCAAATCATGGAAATCTCATAAATATTAGAACAAATTCAACTGAGCAGAAAATTGCTATATATTGCTAAGATTAGATGCATCCTTTCCAGGAGTGATGCTGAAAAACTAGTTCATGCATTTATTACATCAAGACTGGATTACTGTAATTCATTACTCAGGAAGTCCACAGAATGTAGTTAAAAGTCTTCCGCTTGTTCAAAATGCTGCAGCTAGAGTTCTGATGAGAATTAAAGAGAGAGATCATATCTCTCCTGTCTTAGCTTCCCTACATTGGCTATCTGTTAAATTCAGAATAGATTTTAAGATCCTTCTTCTCACATATAAAGCTCTTAATAATCAAGCTCCATCATACCTCAGTAATCTGATTGTTCCATATGTTCCTAACCGAGCACTTCGCTCTCAGACTGCAGGTTTACTGGTGGTTCCCAGAGTATCTAAAATTAGGATGGGAGGCAGATCTTTTAGTTATCAGGCTTCTCTCCTGTGGAACCAGCTCCCAGCCTTAGTCCGTGAGGCAGACACCTTGTCTACTTTTAAGACTAGGCTTAAAACATTTTTATTTGATAGGGCCTATGGTTAAAATCTGATGTTAGTCTAGATCTGGACAAGTGGGGGAGTAGAGGGAGGTGGAGTGTACAGTCGGTAAAGACGGCTCTCCCTTGCCCTGCCTCCAACATGCCTCCATCTAAATAGGATAGATTATCCAGAGTTATCTCTGTAGTTATGCTGCTATAGGCTTAGACTGCTGGAGGATACACTGACCATTTTCCACACTCTACTACTTTCTTCTACAATCTGCTCTTTAACTGTATTATTTCCTGCAATTTCAGCTGTTAACTTTATTTTTTCTCTAAGTGTTTTTCTCCCCAGAAGAAGCAACAATGATGTTCTGCTGAGCTGTGGTAGCCTCATGGAGGGGGCCATCATCTAGCACACTGCTGCTAACCACTTAAACATTCTCCCTCTCCTGATAATAACACTTTACTTTCCTTGACATTGAATGTGCTACTACTAGTTTATCCGTTTAATTATAGATTCACTAGGATAAATACAATAAAGTTTATCTCTCACCAAATAGAATATTTACTAAGAAATCACAATGTAACCATAGAAACACTACTTGGTGTGTGTGTGTGTGTGTGTCTGCTCTGTCTTCTTGATCCCCAGTGAGTCGTGGAGGATGGCTGCTTATACTGAGCCAGGATCCTCTGGAGGTTTCTTCCTGTTAAAAGGGAGTTTTCCTCTTCGCTGTCGCTGCATGCTTGCTTAGTATGAGGATTGCTGTAAAGTCACTGACACTAGTCAGTGACTCAATGCAATTTGCTGGATTCCTTATATAGGAAACTTTTTTCTGATTGGCTTAATGAATTGACCTGAATTGGAATGTTTATTATGTGACGTGCCTTGAGACGACGCTTGTCGTGATTTGACGCTATATAAATAAACTTGAATTTAATTGAATATTCTAGACTCAAGTGTCACACTCCAATCAGCTAATAAATCCAGAACACCTGCAAAGGGTTCCTGAGCCTTTAGATCTAAACTGGATTACTGACATAAATGGACTTTTGCACCATATTCTAGTTTTTCCAGTTCCACCAGTATGTGACACATACGTGAGTGTGCCTTTTCTTTGTGAAATGAAGTGATCCTATGGACTAACGTTACTTAAATCGGTTGAAAACATAAGCATTGTGACATTTTTCATACCTGATCTTGGGTCCTTTCTCTATGCTCTCATAGTAGAAGAGGAAGTTGATTTCATGGACTCCCTCCTTGTCCGGCCCTCTGAGCCAAAGAGGCAGCTGAATGGACTCCCCAGGTTGTAGCATGCCCCCGTGCACCGGGATGTTCATCACCCCCGATGGCTGACTGAACTCCTCTGCTGAAACCAGCATCTCCGATGCAACTGAACCTTGCTGAAGGGTTGTCGCAAAGGTTTTATAGGCTGAGCAGTTTTCAGCTGAGACTGAAGAGGGGGGTGTGACAGGTGTTGTGGCTTGGCTGCCAAACGTGAAGAAGTCAGGGTGAGTGGACGCTACGCGCAGTCCACACAAAGCAACCGCGCTGACGTTACAAAACTCCACGTGGGCCTTCTTGATCTCACCACACAGCAGAGCAGTGGGAAACTGTAGGAAAAAGACCTGGGACAGAAGAAGCATGAAGACACAGGCTGGATGAGTAAGTGATGCTGCTGTAGCAGGTTCTGGTGGTTGTGGCTTAGCTCCATTCAGGTATAAAATTATAAATCACTTTGAACTCATCAGATTACATGAGCATATAGGGTCAGGACTACCTCCATTAAAGGCATTGGGGGCGTTATGATGGGTTCCAGACGTTGATCTGCCCCATATCGAACCTGCATCTTATCTTCTTTGGTCAGGTTTAGCCGTGGACCCCGGATCTTCAGGTCTTGTCTGCCACGAACGGTCATCTGACTCAGAGCCTGCTGGCCTTCAGACAAAAGGAAATCCACATTTTTGTGCTATAATCAAGTAATTCTGAAGGAAATGTCATCGATTAGTGTCTGACTGTTATAAACAGCGTTGGGAGTAACTCGTCACAAAGGAAACTAATTATTGCATTGGTTTTTGCTCAAACACAGTAACGTAAGATGTTGCAGAAAAAAGGGTTATATTTCACTCTGCACAAATGTCAGTGATGTCCATTACAATAAATATTTAAACAGGTGTTGTGCTGAGGAGAACCTGCTGAGATTGGCATGCCTCAGCACGGGAACGTGCATTGCTCAGCACTGAGGAAGTAAACGGTTAAAAATATGAGTGACAACACTACGTTTTCATATACTGGTGGTCTACCGTCCACCTGTTCCAAACAGTTCTTTACTTCAGGAGTTTAGTGACTTTCTATCCTCCAATGTGAAGCTGTTCAGACTGGTGATTGTTGGTGACTTTAACATCCACGTTGATGATCCCTCAGACCACTTTGCCATGAATTTCTCCAGCCTTATGGACTCCTTCAACCCAGCATGTTTCTGGCCCCACACACACCAGGGGGCACACTCTAGACCTTGTTTTTACCCTGAGTCTAAATGCTGACAGTGTTTGTCCTGAGGACGTTTATATTTCAGATAACCATTGTATTTTCTTTAACTTGTCAGTTTCTGCGTCCCCACCTCCTGCTCGCCATCTGGTTAGTTCTCGTTTTCTTATTGAGAGCACAGCTAGCAATTTTTCGGCTGCTTTTGATCCACCCTGTTCTTCTGATAACGACCCAGATTCATTAACTTCTCAGTTTAACGAGCACTGCCTCTCCATTCTGGACAACATCTGTCCTGTCAGAACCAGATCAGTTCCTGCAGTGAACCCTACTCCCTGGTTTAATGACAGCCTTCGCAGCCTGAAGCGCCAATGCAGAAAAATTGAGTGTTTGTGGAAGAAAACCCATCTCCACGTCCATCTGCTGCACCTAAAGGATCTTCTGACATCCTTTAACTCTGCAGTCAGAGATAACAGGATTTCCTATTTTTCCAACCTGGTGTTCCAGAGCAAAGGGAACCCCAAGGAGCTGTTTAACACCATCAGCAGCATCGTCTCTCCTGCCACTCCTACAGCCTCCATCCACTCTGTTGCAGACTGTGAGAACTTTCTGTCTTTCTTTGTGGACAAAGTCAATAAGGTTAGATCTAGCATCTCTCCTTCAGCCTTATCGCAGTCTCTCCCGACTCCAACCAGGCCCATCATCCTAGATAGCTTTGCTCCTGTTTCTTTGCCTGAGCTAACCAAACTAGTTAACGCTATGACGACCTTTGCATGCCCCCACGGCATCTTACCCTCATCTTTGTTTAAAAGTGCTTTTCAGTCCATCGGTCCCAGCGTGCTCTTTATAATTAATGCTTCTCTGGTTTCTGGTCAGGTCCCTGCTTACTTTAAGAACGCTGTAATCCACCCGCTTCTTAAAAAACCGAGTCTTGACCCCTCTCTCCTTAGCAGCTTCAGACCCATCTCTAAACTTCCGTTCATCTCCAAGATCTTGGCAAAGGTTGTGGCTAAACAACTCACAGCTGCTCTTGATGAACATAACATCTATGATAGCTTCCAGTCAGGTTTTCGTAGAGCTCATTCTACTGAAACAGCTCTTCTTAGGGTCTCTAATGACCTTCTGACTCACAGTGATGCAGGGGACTGTTCTGTTCTCGTCCTGCTGGACCTGACTGCAGCCTTTGACACTGTTGACCATCACCTGCTACTGGAGAGGCTGAGAGACTGGGTAGGCCTATCAGGAACTGCTCTGGAGTGGTTCTCCTCTTATCTCTCTGAGCGCTCCTTTTTTGTGGCCGTCTCCAAGTTTAGGTCCTCCACCACCTCTCTTACCCATGGTGTCCCACAAGGTTCTGTGCTGGGGCCTCTGCTCTTCTTCCTCTATCTGCTTCCTCTTCAGCACATCCTGAGCTCCTTCAAAGGAATCTCCTACCATCTTTACACAGATGACATCCAACTGTACATCTCCTTTAAGCCCCATGAGATGTCTAAGCTGCAGCTGTTACACACCTGCTTAGACTCTATTAAAACCTGGATGGCTGGGAGCTTTCTACAGCTGAATGAAGATAAGACTGAGATCCTCATCTGTGCCCCAGACAAGCTGGTTCCCAAAGTCAGAGACTCTCTTGGTCAGCTTGCTTCTCACACCAAACCCTCCGTCAGGAATCTTGGTGTGACCTTTGACCCAGCTCTCACCCTGGATTCTCATGTCAGTTCTCTTGTTCGCTCTTCCTTCTTCCATCTCAGGAACATTGCTAAGCTGAGTCCCATTCTGTCCCGCTCTGAACTTGAGACAGTTCTCCACACCTTCATCTCCTCATGCTTAGACTACTGTAACTCTCTTTTCACGTGTCTGAGCAGAACCTCCCTGAACCGTCTACAGGTGGTTCAGAATGCCTGTACTCGGCTTCTGACCAAGTCCTCCAAACACACCCACATCAACCCGCTTCTCCTCCAGCTTCATTGGCTGCCAGTCAACTTCAGGGTTCATTTCAAGATCCTGGTTCTGGTCTATAGGGCCTTACATGGACAAGCACCATCAAACATTGGTGATCTTCTTAGTCCCTACGGTCCAGTGATCAAAGCCTACTAGTTGTGCAGCACCAGGCTAAAGACCAAAGGTGACAGATCATTTGCTGCTGTGGCCCCCAGACTCTGGAACTCTCTCCCCCTGAGCCTGAGATCAGTGGACTCAGTGGTCTCCTTTAAAAAACAGCTGAAAACTCACTTGTTCAAGCTGGCTTTTGTATGACCTTCTTCACCACTCTCTCTTTATTCTGCCCTCCCTACCTATTCCACCTTCCTCAGGATCCACTGATTTCCCTCTTATCTATTCACTCTCTCTTCTTTACATTTTTTAATCACATTTGTCTATTTTTTGCTCATTTTAAATATATTTTTAACCATTTTCTAAATTATTTCTGATATTTTTACATTTTTTGTTTTTGTGAAGCGCCTCGTGATTTTTATCTCGAGAGGCGCTTTAGAAAAGATATTTTCTTCTTCTATATTCATAATATTAACACATTTCTCATCCCTATGCTTCCTGAAAGGGCTTTGTTTTGGAGCACATAAAGTAAATTACGGACACGTTTGATCTGAACAAGTTTGAAACAAACCTTTTAAAGTCAAAGGGTGTCAAGATTGATTTTTTTGCTCCCTGCTTTCCAATTATGGGTCATAATCCTGCTTTTTAACCAACAGAATAATAGCCCTGTGTCACGTCTCAGTGATTTTTAGGAGCATTTAAACGCTACTGTGGGTGCAGGTAGGACACAACCTAAGCCCTAGATGCAGTAACATCACTGTTGATGCTCAAGAGCAGAACTATAAATTCTGTGGGCTCTTGATAACACACAGCACTGCAGTTCTGTGGAAAACTAACATTACATTTAAGAAGGTGGACTTTTTTTGAGGAAGGGGAATTCAGTCATTTGAATATAAAATGTTAAGGTGCATTATGTAGAAATGAAGTAAAAATGACATTCTGGGGTAAAATTTGGTTACTGCAACCACTTGAAACAACTCTGGAGCTTCTCACATCTGCCATAGGGGATACCGCAGGGTTCAGTACCGGGACCCTTGCTGTTTTCAATTTATATTCTCCCATTGGGAGACATTTTACGAAAGTTTGGAATTGGATTCCATCTCTATGCCGACGACTGCCAATTGTACTTGCCTCTAGATGGCGCCGGTGATCACACTATAAAATTTTTTTTGGATTGTCTGGCAGAAATTAAGATATGGTTGGCAGAAAACTTCCTGTGTCTCAATGGGAAAAAAACAGAGGCACTGTTGTTTGGTTCAAGCGGACATGTTGATTTTTCAAACGTAGACTGCGGTGAACTGAACTCCTATCTGGGTGTTTCAGCAGTCAACCTTGGCGTGAAGATGGACAGTTCATTCTGCATGGATGCTCATGTGGGTACTGTAGTATCCTCTTCATTTTATCATTTAAGACGTTTGGCTAAAGCAAAGCCGTTTTTATCTAGACGTGACCTTGAGACTGTTGTTCATGCTTTTATTACCTCACGACTCGACTATTGTAATTCCGTTTTATTTGGTGTAAGTAAGGGTAATGTAAACCAGATGCAGCTTGTCCAGAATGCTGCAGCAAGATTCTTGGACAACAAAAGGAAGCATGAACACGTGACACCAATTTTGGCTGCTCTCCACTGGTTGCCTGTTGATTTTAGAATTCATTTTAAACTTATTTTAATGGTGTTTAAGGCTTTGAGTGGTGTGGCTCCAAACTATTTGACGGAGTTGCTGCAGCCATATGTTCCGGCCCGGTCACTCCGCTCTGAGAACCAGCTGCTACTTATGGCTCCTAAGGCTAGGTTAAAGTTGAGAGAGGACAGGGCGTTCTCTGTTGCGTGTCCGAAACTGTGGAACGCACTGCCCCTAACTATTAGGGGCTCTCCATCAGTAGCAGTTTTAAAAATGAGGCTGAAAACCTACTTTTATGATCTGGCTTTTAATTCTGTGGGTTAGCAATTGTTAATGTTTTATATTTTGTAATTCTTATTTGTGGTTTTAATTATGTCTGTAGCGCTATGTTTTATTGTTTTACTCTTTTGTTGTACAGCACCTTGGTGGCATGCCCATGACTGTAAGGTGCTTTATAAATAAAGGCTGAGTGAGTGAGTTTTTGCCGGCCGTCGTCAAATTACAGTAATTGGCGCTGCAGTATTAGCTCGCAGGAGACACGGCACCCCCACATTCACCGATGGCAAACAGTAGTTATGTCCCTCCTGGCAATTCCCGCAGCCAGTGGTGTATGAAATATGTTTCCTTCCAAAATGACTGAAACTTTAGACTCTTTTGGGATTTTCTCACTGTAAAATTCTCACTAAATGTTTACATACTGCATCTTTCAGTAAACATTTTAAAGACAATAAGTCTCAAACTTAAAGGTGCAGTATGTAAAAATTTAGTGAGAATTATGTATATTAGTCAGATTGTAAACTAAACAATACGTTTGGATAGCCAAATCCATATTTGCAGTTATTTTAATGAGAGCAACTTAAAGTAATGCAACAGTAGTGTAATGCCTTACATCTTAAATACAGTAATATTTAAATGTAACAAATTACTCTGAAAAGACAGTAATAAGTGTGTAATTACAACCTGGACCACCCTGCAGACACCAGGTCTTATATGATTGTTTAGCTGTTCAACAGCTGGTTGGGAATTAGGACTCCTTGTGTTGAGCTCCAAATGAACGTGGCCAGATGCATATTTAGAACCTAAAAAGAAACCTTGATGTCTACAAAACCTTTACATTTAGGTTGAACTCATCTGGTTCTAGCCTGAGCATCTTCATCTCCACAGCTGAACCCTGTCCAAGAGCTGTAGCTGGTGTAAAGGTGGAGTAGGTTAAAACCAACTCAGGTAAATGTGTTTAGAAGTAAGTAATTTTTACTGTTGTGCTTTTCCACTAAAAGTGTCAAATTAAAAAGCCAGACAGAACTGTGAGAAAAGCACAATTCAGCAAGCTCACTTTACTTTATCTTAGATCAGACTCTTATGGACCTTTTGTTTAACTTTCATTTTTGTGAAAGAAACAGATAGGAAAAGAACCAGGTATAATTCTAGAATATGCAGTCAGCATGTGAGGCTTTAACTCAAGCTGAAGAGGCAAAGATCTCATCAGCAGTTTACCTTCAGTATTTGAAGCTGTTTCTCCAGCGAATGAGGAGGTCAGGTCATAAACCACTCCTACGATGTTCAGCTGACCAGTCCTGTGTGGCAGCAACCTCAGTCTGGCCTGAGGACAAAACAAGACTTCAGTTCCTCTTCACACTCAGTTACTGTCAGGCTTGCATCGGCTCATTGAGGTAAGGCTAGATACAGGCGGTTTCCAAGGTGCGATGATTATAGAGCATTAATCTGTGATGGTTTTAAAAAACAAGTGAAAAGATCAAAAAGTGCCAACAGACACGGGATCTCTCGTGCCAGCAGTAGCCTGCTCGTTACCTATCCTGTAAAATGTCATTAACTCTTTCTGGATGTTTGGTCACAGGTCAATCGGAGTAAAGCTCAAACACTTCAGCCGTACCATTTTGGTCTCCTCTGATCCCATATGAAACTCCTTAATGATCTCAGCGGTGATGATGTCATCTTTCAGTGCCATCTACAAGACGGAGAGGAGACAATGATCTCAAATAAGGCGTTTAAAATCAGGTTGAGTATAAAACATCAGGATGGGCTACCCTGGGGATGCTCACCTGTGTGGCCGAGGCCTCCTCGTTAGTGATGGTCTCTCCTGTGATCTGCTCACCTGTCTGAGTTTTACCTGGTGAAGATGTTCCATCAGCAGTAAACTTCCAGAGCAGTGAGAGGTTAGACAGAGTCAGAGAAACCTTCAAAGGGTTTCTGAATGATAGCTCCACTATGATTGGTTCTGTAGAGGAGAGAGAGCACGCTCAGGTCACGCTGACTAAAGATCACACGTTATTCTCTAGAGATATCAATAAAACACAATTATTGAAAGAATATTGTTAATGCAGCAGTAAACACAGAGGAAGGCGTGAGGATTTGGTGTATGACACCTCTACAGCTCATTAATGAGAAAATCTTTATATTTGATCAATTATCTTTAGGGATGCACGATATATTGGCATCAATATCGGTATCGGCCGATGTTAGTCGTTTCTGAACATTTCACTAACGATAAGTAAAACTGGGTCGATTTTAACAAACAATATTTTTTCCATCTTATTTCTGTTTGTGTGTCTGTTTCAGAAGGTAAGGGGGGTGATGATGTGTAATTGTTTAGTCCTAAGATAGTGTTGGTAATCATCTCAGAAGCATAAATGTGTGTGGTGTGTGTGTATATAAAATACATTGCAAATTCCACTTTACAGAAATAAAGCAAAACATAAAAAATTCAGCTTACGTAATTTCTGTCTATACAAAATTAGCTGATTTCAGAAGCATAAATCAGTAAAGGCAAATATCGGTTATCGGCCATAACAGTGATATTAATACCTAATATTAATTCATATCGGTGCATCCTTAATTATCATCTACTAAAAGCCATCTACCTAACTTGTAGTTAGATGCTAACCAAAACTAGGTCTGAAGAACATCTTAAATATGTTGATGGTTTCTTACCCTCCACCACAGCGAGAGGGGGATGGAGGTTGTCCGTCTGACTGTTCAGACAGCTCTGAGAAGGCTGGAAGTTGTTTGGGACAATCCCACGATTGGCAGAAGACACAAGCTGCTCCTCTAGTTGACACCACATGGCTGACAAGTTCTGGTCATACTCCTGATCCAACGACACATGAGTGGCCGCCTGCTTCTCTCCTTAGAACAAACAGAAATAAGATGAGTGAGTAGATTCTATATAGAAGATAACAACCTCACATCGCTTTCTACATCATTTGTACTTACTGATGAATAATTTTATTCACAGATGCATCATTTATAATTTAATGGCCATATTATTAACCTCTCCCTGGGCTGCCACCTTACCGTGGTGGAGGGGTTTGAGTGTCTCAATGATCCTAGGAGCTAAGTTGTCTGAGGCTTTCTGCCTCTGGTAGGGTCAAACAGGTCCTAGGTGAGGGATCAGACAAAGAGCAGCCCGAAGACCTCTTATGATGAATGATATAAATGGAAACCGTGTTCCCTCGCCTGGATGTGGGTCACAGAGGCCCCCCTCTGGAGCAAGGCCTGGAGGTGGGGCACGTTGGCGAGCGCCTGGTGGCCGGACTTTCACCCATGGAGCCCGGCCGGGCACAGCCCGAAGAGGAAACGTGGGTCCCCCTTCCCATAGGGTCATACCTCGTGGGAGGGGCCAAAGGGGTCAGGTGCAGTGTGTGACGGGTGGGAGTCGAGGGCGGGGACCTTGGCGGTCTGATCCTTGGCTATAGAAGCTGGCTCTTGGCACATGGAATGTCACCTCTCTGGTGGGGAAGGAGCCTGAGTTGGTGTGTGAGGCTTAGAGGTTCCGACTAGATATAGTCGGACTCACCTCAACACATGACTCTGGCTCTAGAACCAGTTTCCTTGAGAGGGGCTGGACTTTCTACCACTCTGGAGTTGCTCCCACTGAAAGGCGCAGAGCAGGGGTGGGCGTACTAGTTGCCCCCCATCTTGGTGCCTGTACGTTGGGGTTTACCCCAGTGAATGAGAGGGTAGCCTCCCTCCGCCTACATGTGGGGGGACGGGTTCAGACTGTGATCTGTGCTTATGCACCAAACTACAGTTCAGACTACCCACTCTTTTTGGAGACCTTGGAGGGGGTGCTGGAAAGCGCTCCTTCCGGTGACTCCCTCATTCTGCTGGGGGACTTGACGCTCACGTGGGCAATGACAGTGAGACCTGGAGAGGTGTGGTTGGGAGGAACGCCCCCCCCTGATCTGAAATTGAGTGGTGTTTTGTTATTGGACATCGGTGCCAGTCATGGATTGTCCATAATGAACACCATGTTCAGACATAAAGGTGTCCATATGTGCTCTTGGCACCAGGATACCTTAGGCCGCAGCTCAATGATCGACTTTGTTGTTGTTTCATCTGACCTGGGGCTGCATGTCTTGGACACTCAGGTGAAGAGAAGGGCGGAGCTGTCAACTGACCACTACCTGGTGGTGAGTTGGCTCAGACGGTGGGGGAGGATGCCGGTCAGGCCAGGCAGGCCCAAACGTATCGTGAGGGTCTGCCGGGAACATCTGGCAGAGTCTCCTGTCAGAAGGAGCTTCAATTCCCACCTCCGACAGAACTTCCAAAATGTTCCGGGTGAGGCGGGGGAAATTGAGTCTGAATGGACCCTGTTCCATGCCTCCATTGTTGAGGCGGCCAACCGGAGCTGTGGTCGCAGGATCGTCGGTGCCTGTCGTGGTGGCAACCCCCGAACCCGCTGTTGGACAACGGCAGTTAGGGATGCTGTCAAGCTGAACAAAGAGTCCTATCAGGTCTTTTTGGCCTGTGGGACTCCAGAGGCAGCTGACGGGTACCGGCAGTTCAAGCGGAACGCGGCTCGGGTGGTCGCCAAGGCAAAAACCCGGGCATGGGAGGAGTTCGGTGAGACCATGGAGCAAGACTTCCTTATGGCTTTGAGGAGATTCTGGTCCACCATCCGGCGCCTCAAGGGGGGGGAAAGCAGTGCGCTACCAACATTATCTATAGTGGGGACGATGTGCTGCTGACCTTTACTCAGGACGTTGTGGATCGGTGGGCAGAATACTTCGAAGACCTCCTCAATCCCACCGACACGTCTTCCAGTGAGGAAGCAGAGCCTGGGGACTTTGGGTTGGCCTCTAAAATCTCTGGTGCTGAGGTCACTGAGGTGGTTAAAAAGCTCCTCTGTAGCAAGGTTCCAGGGGTGGATGAGATCCGCCCGGAGTTCCTTAAGGCTCTGGATGTTGTGGGGCTGTGTTGGCTGACGCAGCTCTGCAATATCACATGGACATCGGGGGCAGTCCCACTGGACTGGCAGACAGAGGTGGTGGTCCCTTTATTTAAAAAGGGGGACCACAGGGTGTGTTCCAACTATAGGGGGATCACACACCTGAGCCTTCCTGATAAGGTCTATTCAGGGGTTCTGGAGAGGAGGGTCCATTGGATTGTTGAACCTCAGATTCAGGAGGAGCAATGTGGTTTTCGTCCTGGCCGTGGAACACTGGACCAGCTCTATACCCTTAGGGGGATCCTGGAGGGTGCGTGGGATTTGCCCAACCAGTCTACATGTGTTTTATCGATTTGGAGAAGGCGTTTGACTGCGTCCCTCGGGGGGTCCTGTGGGGGTACTCCGGGAGTATGGGGTACCAGGCCCTCTTATACGGGCTTTTAGGGTCCCTGTATGACCGGTGTCAGAGCTTGGTCCGCATTGCCGGCAGTAAGTCGGGCTCGTTCCCAGTGAGAGTTGGACTCCGCCAAGGCTGCCCTTTGTCACCGATTCTGTTCATAACTTTTATGGGCAGGATTTCTAGGTGCAGCCAAGGTGTGGAAGGCATCCGTTTTGGTGGCCTGAGGATCAGGTCTCTGCTTTTTGTAGATGATGTGGTCCTGTTGGCTTCATCAGAACGTGATCTTCAGCTTTCGCTGGAGCGGTTTGCAGCCGAGTGTGAAGCAGCTGGGATGAGAATCAGCTTCTCTAAATCTGAGACCATGGTCTTGATTCGGAAATGGGTAGAACGCCTTCTCCGGGTCAGGGGTGCGGTCCTGCCCCAAGTGGAGGAGTTTAAGTATCTTGGGGTCTTGTTCACGAGTGAGGGAAAACTGGAGCGTGAGATCGATAGGCGGATTGGTGCTGCATCTGCAGTGATGCGGGCATTGTACCGGTCTGTCGTGGTGAAGAGAGAGCTGAGTGAGAAGGCGAAGCTCTCGATTTAGAAAGAAGAAGAAAATATCATTTCTATAGCGCCTCTCAAGATAAAAATCACGAGGCGCTTACTTACGATTTACTGGTCGATCTACGTTCCTGCCCTCACCTATGGTCATGAGCTTTGGGTAGTGACCGAAAGAACATAATCGTGGATACAAGCGGCCAAAATGAGTTTTCTCCAAAGAGTGGCTGGGCTCTCCCTTAGAGATAGGGTGAGAAGCTCGGTCATTCGGGAGGTGCTCGGAGTAGACCCGCTGCTCCTCCACATCAAGAGGAGCCAGTTGAGGTGGCTAGGGCTTCTGGTCAGGATGCCTCCTGGACGCCTCCCTGGTGAGGTTTTCTGGGCACGTCCAACCGGGAGATGACCTAAAGGTAGACCCAGGACACGTTGGAGGGACTATGTCACTCACCTGGCCAGGGAACGCCTTGGGATTCCCCCGGAGGAGCTGGCCCAAGTGGCTGGGGAGAGGGAAGTCTGGGCCTCTCGTCTTAGGCTACTGCCCCCGCCACCCGACTCCGGATAAGCGGATGAAAATGGATGGATGGATATTATTAACTTTGTAACGTGATGAATGAGCCATTTCTCCCCTCTAACAGCTGTCCTTGTGACACAGCGCCAGTGTGCATGAACAGCCGAGGTCATGCATTCACTTCTAATGTTTACATTCCAGCAAGAAGACAGAAGAAGGAAGAAGAACGCTTTTCTTTTAATTAAGCAAAGAACTCTATTTTAATAAAGCTAATTAAAACAACTGTTAGTCAATAATAACCATGTGACCGATCTGTGAAATCACAATGTTATGATTAATATGTTTAATGAGTAATATGACTTTGGTCTAACTGCACTAGACATCCTGATACACGTAATGTCAACACATGATAAATTGTTTACTCATCCAATCAGAACCTTCATTCTGAAGCGTGGCAGAGTTTCTGTGGTGTTTATTTAATCTGTCCACTGCGATTCGTCAAGAATCGTAAACAACCAAGATTAATAAAACAGAACAACGCCATTTTGTGTTCAGTACTCAGCCAGCTCTCAAGATCATCTGATGTCCATCATTGCTAAGTGAAGTAAGGACTGGCCATCTGTGCGTTTTACTTTTAAGCTGAGAACTGTCGAGCTGGAAAATCCTGTCGTTGTTATCAACAAAACAACGGTTCCTTCAGAATAAAAGCTGAACTCGCTGACCCAAGGGGGGGGGGGGGGGGTCTCTTTGACGCTGTGAAACACCTGCCGTTTTTACCTGGAGACTATCCATAGACTGGTTTGTCGTGCTGTCGATGCTGTTTCATCGGTTCCAGCAAGGGGGGGGGGGGGGGGGGGGGGTGTGACGCGCTGTGCCAGAGCGTCGGTACTGACACGCGCGCCTGATGCGATTCGCTGCTGTGGAGCGGGGCGCATCACCTTGTCCTCCGGTGGCGCACCGATCACTGATGCGGCCGGCAAGCAGCGAGCACTCCGCTGTTTTTGCGGTCGGTAGATCTTTTAGAACTGCAGTTCAAAGGTAACTCATGAGGTGAATATATATGAACCCAGGTAGCAGTTTTTCTTTAGGATTGAGAGGAGATGCAGGAAGATAATAAACAGACAGGACAGAAAAATAGTCAAATAAAAACAAGTTAGTTTTTGTACCTGCTGGTTGCAACAAACAGACACCATTGAAGGTAATCAGAAGTGAGGAAGAGAAAATGAAATAATTATTTTAATGTTTAGAGCAGCAGGAACTCCGAGAGGCTGCAGGCGCATCAGTGAGTTTGCGGCCGCAGCGCAGGGGGAGGGGGGAGATGGCTGAAGCAGAAACTACCGTTGTTAAAAAAAATGTTTTTAACTTTGAAAATGTGGGCGCAATTTTAATTGTCAAAAACTCCAGTGAACCATTAGTTCATTTTGCTCAAATAGAAATAGAGGCCTGCCTCTAATTCTGGTCCTCCTTCCAATAAAGGTCTGGAGCTTGAGTCAAATACAGGCCCGGGCCTGTATTAGAGGATTTACGGTAATTAATAATTAGATGATTATTCAACAGCAGCAGCCTTCTGGTTTAGAGTTCAGAGAGGACTAACAGCTTGTTCTAATGTAGCTGAAGCTGCCACTTCAGTTCAGCGTCTGTTAGTCTAGATGTCTCCATGTTCAGCTCCCAGCCCGGGTCACATGACTCGCACAGCAGCATGGACGTGAAGGAGACGAAGGACGGAATGAGAAAAGTGATGAATCTGTGCGCTACCTTCTGCGAGGCGTCGCTCGTGTCCAAAGAAGACCCTGGTAGTAGAGCTCTGGATGTAGGGCAGCGGCAGCTCAGGGAGGCATCCTTTCTTTTCTCCATTCACACTCTTAAAAAAAAAAACATGTTATTTAATTTCTTCCTATAAAATATAATGACAATATTCTAATTTCACTAAATCTACAGCTGGGACCAGCCCCATTCAGCATCCAGAGGTCAGGATTGGACCTGAGCAGATGTGAGACTGACGGTACTGATCCATATACACAGAGTAAACTGCCTGACTGACATTGTTGCTGATTTTTCCAGTTGGTCTGAGCTAAAGGGAATGATAGATCAGTTACGCTACTAGGCAATGATGTTAGTTGAACAACAGCAAACAGGATGTCAGATTAGGGATTATTAACTCTCCGATTATGTAATGTGCCGAAGCTTAGCTCACCAAACTAGGAGCAGTATTTAGGACTTACTTTGTACACGTAGAGGTACTCTCTGAGGAAGGCAGCCTGCTGTGTGGCCGTCTGTCGGCTGTCATTGATCAAGATTTGTCTGAAAGCCATCACAGCATCCTCTGATTGACCATGTGTGAAAGAGTGGCGGCCAATGGTGAAGTTGATATGATCTTCTGCCAAGGACCAGCCCCTGTCCTGGTACACCTGCATGGCTTGGCAGTAACAGCGCAGAGCGTGTCTCGTCTTTGGAGATAAACAGAAAGAGACAAGGTGAGACACGTCTGTGAACCAACAACAGAATCAATAAGGCAGAAGTAGTAGAGAACGTAGAACAGGTGCGAGGCTTACCTGTCTCGCTTTGCTGAAACGATGACCAGCCAGGATCATGTGGAAGGCAAACTTGCGCACCATTGGGTTACGCATGTTAATGAAACAGTGGGCTGCCTGCTCCAACAGCAGAGCGCTGCGTAGGTCAGAGTCCTGCAGGGGGAAAAACACACACCCACGCACGCACGCACGCACGCACGCGCACACACACACACACACACACACACGCGCGCACACACACTTGATTTCTCTGATTTTAATCACTGCTAAAACAGCTAAACGTCCACAACCAACATGCACTTTACTACAGCTGTAATCCCCAACAGAAACAATGTTTTCTCACCTCACTGGTCATCTTAATGAGAAGCGCTGCAGCCTCTGAGTATTTTCCCTGACTCTTCAGTATCTCAGAGCTCAATAGAGCACACCGCTCCGCCAGCACCATGTTCCTATTGGGGACACGAAACACTGATTTCACAGGTCAGTATGCAGCCCAGTGTGGGAGTTTGGACCAACAGAACAAACATTTTTTTAAAATCTTTAACAAGCTCTTCTGTGGTGTTACCTGTGACTCAGATGGCTTCTTCTATCGTAATATGGCTAAACTCACTTCTACTGCGTCATGTCCTGAGCTGGAGGTACTTGTTCATGCTTTTGGTTCAGTGTTTCCACTACTGCAATACGATTTTCTAGCCTAGTGAACTAGACCAAATGCTTGCTTTGCACAGTTTGGTCTAGAAACGCTCCACTGGAACCTCTGCAGCCCCTAGCAGCATTCTGGCTGGCCAATCACAGCTCTCTAGAGGGGTTTCAAACACAGAGAGCTGTGATTGGTCTATAATGGTGGGCCAATCATAGCACTCTATCTACTTTATGAACCAATCACTGCGCTTTATCTGCTTTGTGGGCCAGTCAGGACCCTCTATTCGTCTGGAGGGCGGGATGATGCAACAGAGTGGAACAAGATGGCGACAGCTCGTTTGGAATAGCTTTTACATCAATTTTGGATTATTTGGACTCTGGCTTTATTAGAATCAGGAGTAGATAGATGTATTTAAGTCCATTTAGAAAAAAATATGTATTTTCACCGAGAGCCATCAATGGAGCGATCAGAACCTGCTTTGTTGCAGAGCTTGCACGCTTTACTGAAGTAGCTGTTTGATGTAGAGAAATTCACTTCCTCTCATCCTGTTCTGCCCTGGCAGGTAAAGAATAAGATGAAAGGAGCACTGATCGAACCTGTTAGATGTGTATCTAAAGTATCTAAGCCCATTGGCTGAATCAGAATGGTTTGTTACCAGTACAACAACCCTAACACACTTTGTAAGTAGAAACTGTGCAACAGTAAACAGCAGGCAGACTGGTGTGTGTGTGTGTGTGTGTGTGTGTGTGTGTGTGTGTGTGTGTGTGTGTGTGTGTGTGTGTGTGTGTGTGTGTGACTTGCTCGTACCTGCAGACATCTCTGTAGGTTTGTATTGCTGTGTCCATGTAATGCGACGGGTACGGTCTGGGGGCTCCACTCTGCAGAAAGGCCGACACTGCAGCCATCTCCTACAGGACACATGACATGACAGATGTCAGAACAGAAACGCACAGAGGAAGAAGTCTCATCTAGTTTTACACACAAGAGGAAAAAAGAAGATTTTTCAATTCAGTTTATTTATACAGCGCCAAATCACAACAAGAGTCATCTCAAGGCACTTCACACTGTAAATATTCCAATACAGTTCAGTTCATTAAGACAAAATCAGTAAAACGTTTCCTATATAAGGAACCCAGCAGATTGCATCGAGTCAGTGACAGGCGTCAGTGTCTTTACAGCAATAAAGCATTTTTTTATTTAAAAAGACAGTTTTTGCTTTTAAATCTCTCATTTTTTTCCCATTTTCAGTTGCTTATCCAGGGCCGGGTCATGGGGCAGTAGCCTAAGCAGGGACGCCCAGACCAGACCCTCTCCCCAGCCACTTAAGCCAGCTCCTCCGGGCAATCCTAAGGCGTTCCCTGGCCAGCTGAGAGGCATAGTCTAGCAGGTCAGCTCATTTCAGCCGCTTGTATCCACGATCTCGTTCTTTCTGTCACTAGCCGAAGCTCGTGACCATAGATGAGGGTAGGAACGTAGATAGACCGGTAAATCATGAGATTTGCCTTCCGGCTCAGCTCTCCCTTCGCCACGACAGATCGGTACAACACCTGCATCACTCTCCATCTTTCCCTCACTCGTGAACAAGACCCAAGATACTTAAACTCCTACACTTGAGACAGGACCTCATCCCTGACCTGGAGAAGGCATTCTACCCTTTTCTGTCTCAAGACCATGGTCTCGGATTTAGAGGAGCTGATTCTCATCCCAGTTGCTTCACACTCGGGTGTTTTTAAATCTCACAGCTTTAGTAGACAAACGTGATACAGGTTTTGAACCTTTATATGGTGGCTTCTTTTAAAGGTGTGTGGTTCACTGAAAATGATTATTACTGATTATAATGGGTCACTCTGAGTTTTTTATGCATGAAAATAGTCTCCTACACCTATTTCCTGCATTAACTTCTGATAGAAAATAGGCGGTGAAACTTTAGGATCTGAAAAGCCTGACAGATCTACGTCAAGTGGCCACTTTACATTCGTGGACTCACCCATCTCGATTCACGATGAGGAAGGTTGTTGTCATTTTAGTGTCCAGGAAACAGCAGAGAATGGCAAGTAGAAGCTAACTGTTAGCATTAAGCCGGGCGTACACTGTGCGACTTTTTCACTCGTAGCACTCAGCTTCAGCTCAAACTGTACGACTTCCTCGCAGAGCAGATCTCACGAGTCATGTGCTCACACTGTACGTCTGGTAGCAACACGTCGGCCCTAAAAATATGCTAAAAATAGCAGTTTTTACTCAACACATCAGACTTTTTTGGCTTGTCTTGCCTGTTGTCCTTCGGGAGTGCTGCAGGAGGACACACAGGGATTTATGGAGGTTGGATGAGGAAAACGAAGTAAAGAAAGTAAATCTGTGTTTTGTGATCAGTTTAATTTGACATGAACACGACAAACACGCTTTCTTGACAATCTTTGTGAGTAAAAAAAACGTGTAGAAACAAAAACGAACAACGTGTGTTATTAGGGAAATAGCGGGCGAGCGGTGTTGATGCATGATGGCGCATGCGCCGTGAGCGGTTCTGATACTTTTTGGGTCGCAGCTGCTCGCAGCGCCGCTTCAACAGTGCGATACCCTCACGAGGGACGAGCGAAACATCAAACACGCCAGAAGTCCGTGCGAGCTCACTACTGCTGATCGGTAGCTGGTCACGTGGTGTTAATCGCCTCTCGTAACCCCCTGTACACTACACGACACTCAGCGCTAAACTCGCCCCGATCTTGTGGATTCTCGCACGAGTGGAAAATCGGCTCAAAAAAGTGAAAAAGTCGCACAGTGTACGCCCGGGTTTAGCAACTCTACCACACAGCAGAACTCCTCCAGGCTTTTGTTATTTGTGGAGATAAAACATCAGCGTTGTAGAGCAAACAGAGTCAGTGGTAGAGCCATGTTGCTGTTAGCCAATCCGAGATGAGCGGTCCAAATATCAGACAACAAGACTCCAAAACCTGCCGTCTGAGTCTCAACTCTGATCTGGCAACATAGTAGTTCCTGAAACAGGCGTACCAGGGCTCCCCCCCCCCCCCCCCAAATAACAACTCACTAGGCATTCATTCCTACTAGAGACCAGTGCAAATGTATTGATTAAAAAAGTGAACCACACCTTTTATTGGTACTCTTAAACGAGCCATGAATGAGGTAATTTGTTTGGTTCATCTCTAGTGTGACACACAGCTTCAGCTTCACCGTGTGAGCAGTTCATACCAGTGCTCCTGCAGCATACAGCATGGCCTGGTCCAACAGGAAGTCCTTCTTGGCAGTGTGGTAGCAGCTGTAGGCTAGGTCGTAGTGCTGGACCAGGAAGCAAAGGTCTGCCATCTTCCTGATCTGCAGCTCCGGGGCTTCAGGAGGATATCTGACACCAAAGAGGAGAAAGATGACACCAACACTGCAGGTAAAGTGTCATGCACGGGGTCAAGAGAGAAATGGAAAGAAAGATCTTACAGAAGGTTGCTAGTAGTCTTAGGTTCGTTCTTCTCTGGAACTTTGCCTCCACCAAACCACTTTTTGGTAGCAGTGAACAAAGAGCGACTCAGGCCTTTTCTGGAAAGGAGCTGAGATGAACGGAGACACAAGCTGTGAGGGAGAGGATGGGTGGAAATGTTAGTGCATCAATAGGGACATCTTGAAGTGTACCTGGTCATTCAGCTGTCTGATGTTCTTCTCAACATGTGGGAGCAGACCTCTGAAAGCAAACTCTTGAACAAACTGTCTAACGTGGTCATGATCATTGAGGGTCAGACAGGCTCCATAGCTCCCTGATCCTAACGCTGGATGCTCCGAGTCCCTCGCTCCCGTCTTCAGGTCGACATGGACATCAGTCAGAGTCTGGAGGCTTGCTGAGCTGGTGTCTAACTGGAGAGGATGGACCTCCAGGCTACTGGACAGGCCAGGTCCTGGTCCACATACACACACAGAAGCACACTTTGATTAAAACAAATGAGTTTAGACTTTTCCATAGACGAGCTTTCGAATCAAAACAGAGGTATGTGAACACTGACAAGAGAAACCGACTGACCTGTCTCTGCCGAGTCGCTGCTGTCCACCTCAGTTGCACCAGCACTGGTCTCTGCAACATTAGCAGCTGGAACCAAATCAAACATCTCCTGCAATAGTGATCCTGGTGTTAAACCAGACCAGTACAGAAGAACCAGACTGAAGCATGAGCCAAGAGGAGTTTTAACCTCCAACCTGCTCGTGTTCAGACTAGATCGTTTTTCGGTTGCTAATACTGACACCGCTATTCAGAGGTCGTGGTCAGCTGACGGCCGAAATGTGCTGCCACTTTTCATGGCTGATATCTAGACGTTGTCCACCTTATTTGCATGCTAAAACGTCTCTAATAGCATCCGTGGATTCACAACATTTCTGAACCTAATCAGATCACTGAATTTAACCAACTGTTAAAATTAAAATCAGACATTTAACTAGTTAAAATAAATTGTTTTGTTGTTGTGGAAGAAAAGGAAAAAAAATGTTAATGTGAGAGGAACTAATTGTATGGTCAGATGTGTTTCTATGTATGTTTCTTTCTCAATAAACACATAAGAAAAAAAACAATTAACTGAGCAAGTATTAAATATTAAAAATGGATAAATAAAAAGAAATTTTAGTAGAAAATAATGTTTTTGAGCACTTCCTTTGTGCGGATGTAACTCAGGAACAATATATCGGTCTAGCTCAGACTCTTCAGTCACATTTTATTCTTCAGTTTCTCAGCAGGTGTGAATTGGTGCTAACTACAGATTCTCCAATAAATGTTTGTAATTTTTTGTCAAAGTAAAGTTGTGCTGCAGTAAAAGGACCCAAGTCAGCCCGACCGGGGGGGTGGGGGGGGGGGGGGGGATGTGAATCCTCACCTGGTTCCGCTGACTATTTCTCAGCAGGTACTGACTCCATGGGTCTGGGATCTGTTCATCTTGCTCAGGAGAAACTGTGCGGGAGTTTATCTTCAACAAGTAACAGCCATGAGAACCGTACCTTTGTTTCATGTCTTCATAAACCAGCTCTGCTCTGAAATCAAACACAAAAACAAATGTTTTAGCCATCAACAAACAACAAAAGTTACAGTAAACAAACCACTAATGTTCCAGAAGGCAAACTTCCCGAGTATCAAACTAACTATGATTGGTTCCTGAAGCCCCGAAAGTTTGATGGATGCGTTTTATTTTACAGACGTAGTAAAAATGCTGAAACAGAGAGTAGCTCTGTACCTTTGTTCATCCCCCTCACTCATGTCATGCAGTAATACGTAGTACTTGAGGGTGTTTGGGATAAACCACTTGGGATTAGTATATTCTCCACTGTGCTGGATCCGATGCTGCTCCTGGGACAGCTTCAGGAACTGCTCCACAGGGACGGTCTCAGTGGAGGACACCACCAGCAGACCTGAGCCGGAACGTCAAGGACTCAACAGAGGTTTATCTGCTCCCACGAGAGGTAACAGAAACAGAAAACGCTAACGAAAAACACGTTCGGTAGGTCCAAAATCCAATCAGCTCTCACCAACAGCCAAAAGACTGAAGATTATAGACAACTTTTCTTTTTATGTATTAACGTAAATGAGTTTTTGCTTGTTACTGGAGCGAGTGGAGCCCCTTATCACAAAGATACAGGCGAGGTAGTGATTCAAGAACTCATGGTCAGAGGCTGGCATCGACTGCAGGAAATTATCTCTGTAGGCTTCAAACCAGGGCGTGGTCACTAGAAACACAACAACAGAGCAGCAAACACGCTCATTAAGATTAGACATACATGTACCAGACTCTGACACATCAGAGCCAGAACTCAGTATTATTACCACTTAGGTTCAGGCTGTAGTCTCCGGTCTTGACAGCAGAGGTCTGGGCCCCCTCCTGGGGCTGGAAGGACAACACCACCTCGCTGAGCAGTCGGTACTGAGCAGGGCTGACGGAGGCAGACGGTGTTTGAAGGCTCGTTACCAGGTTGTTCACGCAGACACGTAGGTTCTTCACAGTCTGGAGCTGGTTGTTAGGATCCCGGATGTGACCTAAAAAAACATGTTGACTTATCAGGATCATCTTAGTTGAGAATCCCTACAGGAGAGTTTAGAAATGATGAAATCATAACTAGGAGACGACTTTAGGTGATTTTGTCACACCACTACAGCTGGACGAGGACTTAATGGATTTGCGAGAACCTGTATGGACATGTATCCCATCTGACCACCTGTTCTAAACTAAACATGAACAGGACGTGAACTAAAACCCGATATGAACTTTTTAGTTTGTTAACTTGTTCAGTCTCTTAAGCAAAGACAAACAGAACTGACAGAACAGGCTCTACGAAAGCCCACAGAACATCAATGGAGAACCGATGTTATGGATTAATGTGCAACTGGGTTACCTGGCGACCCTTTTCCAGTAGAGTGCTAGCTACAGCATCCGATGTGAAATCTTAGCTGTGAAGGCAGAAATCCGCAGGTGGCAGCATCACTAATGTTGACTGTTAATGAGGTTGAAATACAAGATATGAAACCAAAATATGTCGATCCCCTGGTTCTCTCAGACTTTGTGTTAATGATGGTGTCTGAGATCACTGACTGGTTCAACATGTTGATTTACCCGCAGCTACAGAGCAAGTGAAAATACCAAAACCACACAGAAGTTAGACAATAACTGTTAAATGAAGATGCAATCCCTGCTGCTCTCCACTCAGCCATCAGACAGCTGGACTCCCAACGCCTCTGTGAAGCAAACACAACCATCCCCCTGCAGCAAGGGCTCTGTACCACCCTGTGAACCTCGGTGTTGGATTTTCTGACAAAATGACCCTGGACTGTTCAGGTTTGGAACAACACCTCCCAAGTACCCCCAGGATGTGTGCCAAGTCCCCTTCTCTTCACACCTCTGTCCCATGGCCAGACTGCACACCGACACAGCTCCAACCTCTTTTTTTAGGTTTGCAGATGAACTGATGCTAGGTCACATCACCAACTGATGAGACTGCCTACAGGAGTGAGCTGCCTCACCCGGAAGCGCTGCAGATTGTAGGTAACGCCCACCCACCCATCTCACAGCCTCTTCAGTCTGCTGCCATCAGGAAAGAGTCTGCGAAGCCTCCGGGCCAGAATTTACAGCCTTAACAACAGCTTCCTCTATCAGGCTCGACTTTCATCCAAGTCTGACCCTCACCACCCCTCTGCCCTTTGAGCAACAGGCTCTGGACCTGTCCAACTCAGCCAACTATGATTTCCAGGGTTTTCCAGTGTCTACCGATGGAAACATCTCGGACTCAAAGACACAAACAAGCCAGGGACCGCACCAGTCAGACTGTCCCGCAGCATTACTGTCATGCAGCTGCTTGATTTGTTGTTGTTATGGTTCTTTCTGCATAATGCAACGCAGGTCTATGAGTACTGATACTTACATTTAGTAATATGTAAACACCCGTACCAGATCGGTTGATCCACTATGCTAAGAGCTAATAACATCAGGGTCTAATCAGACCGAACCAGGCACTGACCAGACCAGGCAGCTGATCAGACACCGGGCTCCGACTGGACCGGGTAGGGTAGCTAGTCTGACTAGACCGATTCGAGTAGTTCTTACCTTCGGAGGTTAGTTTACAGAAAGGCCGGAGCAGTTCAGAGAAACTCAGGTTGTTCTTCCGAGACACCCTCTCCGCTTCATCGCTGCTTAAAACGGCTACCATCGGAACAAAAGAGTCCTGAATGAACTCCTGAACGGACTGGACACACTGGGCCATTCTGGACCAGCACCGGGACCACTCAGCCGAGCAAACTCAGATATTTGATGAAGACTTTCAGTTTCACTGTTTAGAATTCGTAGGTGGCAGCCATGTTGAAATTACAGACCTTCTTCCTGTCAGAGCTCGAGACACTTGTGGTGACGTCATTTCCGCTAACCGTTTTTTTTAACTTGTGAAGGGGACTGCGAGACCCTCAGAACACCCACATTGAATATGTGGTCATGATAATTAATGTCTGCATGTTTCCTGCACAACCTCACTTGCTGTAATGGAGACATATGTGAAGAACATCCGCTGGGCTGCCCAGCACATGATGCAAATGATGATGCCTAAAGTAATAAATTAAAGAAATGTCATGTATACTTTTCAAGTGTTTTTATTACACTGTCTGTTTTTGGAAAAAATGAAAAAAAAAAATGCAAACAAAAAAATCTTTGAAATGCCACAAAAAAGCAAAGATATGACAGTGGTTCAAAAGTTGTTCATCTTATCAAAAAATTCTCATTAAAATCCATCCCTGCAGGAGTTCACGAGCTGTTTTTACAAATTCAAATTCAAAGGCAGTAAATAACTAGAATAATACAGGTAAAATAGAAACATGAAATATCTGACAGTATGTCACTCCTGTGCAAACATGGCAAATAAAAATCAAATGGAAATAATTTTAAAATATCGCAATCACAAAACATCATGTTTTACAGTTTCTCAATCAGCTTTTCCATGCATGATTGGAAACCTTCCTGAGCAGACTTCAGCTGGGCCACAGTCTCTTCATGGCACAGCTGGCAGGCGTTCTCAGAAAGTTCGAGGAACTTCCAAACATTATCATCTCTTCCTTGTTTCCTACTCCTCAGTACAGCTAGAATGACCACACTGTTGAGATAGAAAACATGGGATGACATCATTGAAGCACAGCCATTGTCTGAGTGGTTTTTTAAAAGTACATTAAATAAACTATCAAAAAATCCAGCAACAAATGAGGGGTGTGTTGGCAGCTAAGCAGCCCACATTTCAAAGACTATACATATCCTTAATGGTTAAATTCACTTTGACCTAATCTTTAGACACATATTAACAGGAAAAATGTTTCAGAAGCGTGTTGATGTCTGTTGAATAAAAGCACTTAAAAATATGGACTGCCAAACAGCTAATTTGTCGTGTGCTTGCACGATTTGCTTTACATGAGACTCATTTTATTAAAAAAAAAAAATTTAGGAACATCATCTTGCCGTCAGCGTTACAGGTGTTACACCAAATTCTGCGACCCATCACAATTTGTGACCCCAGGGGGCAGTGTTGCATTTTGTTGCGTCTATACATCCTGAATTGGCATAAAAGAAGAAGATGCTACATTAAAACCATAAACTGAGACTACTTGGCACCATCGACATATATACTGGACAATTCATTTCCATAGGCTCCAATAACACGTTTTTGAGGCTAAATGGGAGGTGGCCACCACCGCCATTTTGACCGTGTCACAGGTTCCGTCAAGCCCAGACAATTCCACAAAAGGGAAGAGAGGTGGAGCTGAGGGTGTGGCTGTTAGGTTGGGATCAACTGACGACACCCGGTCGAACTAGCTACAAGCTAACCTGAAGCTAACCCAAAGCTAACGCAGAGGTGGGAGCTAAGCTAACGGAGGTAGCAACCTAGCTACAACTGGAGTTAACTGTGCATAACACCAGAGCTTCTGAGTCAGAGATACGCCGGGCTGCCCGCTGGGTAAAACCGGGTGGAACACAGAGGTCTCCCGAAAGCTGCTGAAAGCCGGCAGCCCGCGCAGGAGTCAGAAGCCGCGATCAGACAGAGATGCGCCGAGCTGCGGGGAAGGAGAAAAGGGGGGAAAACATCGGTCTCCCGAGAGCTCCACAAGCCGATAGTCGGAACCCAGCTCCACCAACATGTTATATTTCAACCCATTTTCTAAAGTGCAGCATTATGTTAAATGCACTGGGTTTTACCCTATTACATTTAAATTTCATGGTTAAACAGTACATGTTAAAATCTAAGCTCAGCTCGGCAGTGACCTAAAATACATAAATATAATTTTACTTACCGAAAAAAATGAAGTGGAGATTCCTTGGACGCTCTATTAGTGCAATTAATGCCACAGCAAGTCATTTTGTCCAACATTTGCACAAAAAATATTCAAAAAAGAATACACACACACACAGAGACTCAAAATCCCGGAACAGTTTCCAAGCCAGACCGAGGCTCTACTGAGGCCTTTCCACGGAGCTAGCTCTGTGGTCACGTGGGTCTGATGTTCATTAATTATACAGAATTTTAGGCTTTTAATACACTTAAACAGAAGAGTGAGAAAAAATTCACCCTCCTCAGAGTTGTCATGAGTGTAAACTAGATAATTTAAACCAAAAACATGTTTTGGAACCAGGCTGTAAACATGTTTATTTCTGCTGTGAAATTTGTATTTTTAACATGGGAGTCAATGAGGATTTGCTCGCTTCTGACACCAGCCCCTAGTGGAAGAGGGTGGAACTGCAATTTTTGGTACTTCCGGGTTGGCCTCAAGTTTTGAGCCGCATTGTGGGGGCTTGCTTGGCACAGAGGAGAGGCAGCTTTAGATGGCTGCACTATACATAGACTGTTTTTTTTCCATCTTGCAGAGTTGATGTTTTGTTCTTTAGTCAAACAGTGAATTCATTCTTTATAGAAAAGGCTTTGGGTCATGTGTCAGTGCCTCCTTCACTTGTCCACAGAGGCACACATCTGCTCACGTACCTGCAGAAAAGTTTTGGAAATGGCTGTACAAAAATGCAAATAGGTTCTTTGATCCAAAATAACAGCTTAGGCCAGCCTCCCAAGAAACTTCTCGGTGCCCATATTTGGGCACTGCCAGTATGTGCACATGCTTTCACAAGTGTATGTGAGAAACAATAAACATCTTCCAGGGAAATTGCAACAACTTTGTTGCTTGGGCCTGATGACTTTATAACATAATGTAAAAGGTCATTAAAACAAATAACCTTTGAACATTTGTGTTGTATCATTTTTATTTGCAAAAAATCTTTCTTTAAAACAATTGTAAATCATTTACTTAAATGAGAAAAACAAACTTGATCAAAAAGGAAAAGTTTCACACACAGACATAATATAAATAAAACACAATCACATGGAAATCACTTTAAAGAGTGTCAGAGTCTCATCTGAACGGGCTGGGAGTATTTTATTATTGTGCTCTTGTATAATTTCTAGCTAAAATTGTTTAGCATCAAATTTATTTGTGTTCCTGTTTGACCGGTTTTCAGCCTGAGGCCACCGAGTCTGCGTCGTCTCTCTGTGAGAACCAAAATATCTTCCTGTTTCTTCAGACATACAGCCCAAGGGTGGAATTATCTATAACTATTTAACTCCCTTCCAGTCATAAAAAGTTCCTCATAGCTAAAAATTTGCATATTCAACAAGCGACAGCATGTCTCAGTGGGTTACTGAAGTTTGACCAACAATAGTGAATGAGCTGTTCCATACTCAGGTATATGACACAAACTTGTGTTAGTTTCTTATGAATCTCTGAAACTTTGCAACTGTTTCTGTGTTCCTCCAAAATTCACTGTGAGGTTTTTATAAGTGATGTTATTAGCTTATTTTAGTTACTTTGACAATTTTTTGAGTTGGAGTTTTTTTTAAATGCACCTTCTTTTTACTTTTAAGACTCAGACTCTATTTTTCTGAGTGAAAACTCCTCTTTCAGTTTCTGCTTTGTTGCGTTCCTTTGTAGTAAAAATGCTTCCTGAGCATCATTCTTAACTATCTTGCTCTCATGCTCCTCATGCTTATACGTCCGAACAGTTCAAGCATACTGTTGATTGTGGGAGGAATCTGGGACCTCGAAGTGTGAAGACACAATTTAAAAGAGACCCTCTCCCCTTCAAAAATATCACATGGTTACTTTAAAGATGCTGAACACACTGCACACACTACAGAGAGACACAAACACTTAAGGAGGCAGGCACCAACAAGATTTAACTCAACAGGTAATTATCACTTTTCTTTTGTTCATAGACTGAGGCCAAAGGACAAATGGAAACCTGTTTTACGAGAGAAAGCAATTAAGCCAAACAGCAGGGTAAGGTAGTTATTTTCCACCGGAAAACAGGAATGTGTGACTCGTTGAACAATAAACTAAAACATCTGTCATGCTGTTTGATCCCTTCCATTAGTAAAGTGGTCAGTCAAAACATGTAGCGTAAATAAGATACAAGAATCCATCCAGTACTTCAGTGGAGAACACGTGGAACTATTGATTAGAAGATCAGAATATTAATTAAATGGTAAATGGCCTTCCTGGTAAGGTCTATTCAGGGGTTCTGGAGAGGAGGGTCCGTCGGATTGTTGAACCTCAGATTCAGGAGGAGCAATGTGGTTTTCGTCCTGGTCGTGGAACACTGGACCAGCTCTATACCCTTAGGGGGATCCTGGAGGGTGCGTGGGAATTTGCCCAACCAGTCTACATGTGTTTTGTGGATTTGGAGAAGGTGTTTGACCGCATCCCTCGGGGGGCCCTGTGGGGGTACTCCAGGAGTATGGGGTACCAGGCTCTCTGATACGAGCTGTTAGGTCCCTGTGTGACCGGTGTCAGGGCTTGGTCCGCATTGCCGGCAGTAAGTCGGGCTCTTTCCCAGTGAGAGTTGGACTCCGCCAAGGCTGCCCTTTGTCACCGATTCTGTTCATAACCTTTATGGGCAGGATTTCTAGACACAGCCATGGTGTGGAGAGCATCCGTTTTGGTGGCCTGAGGATCAGGTCTCTGCTTTTTGCAGATGATGTGGTCCTGTTGGCTTCATCAGAATGTGATCTTCAGCTTTCGATGGAGCGGTTCGCAGCCGAGTGTGAAGCAGCTGGGATGAGAATCAGCTCCTCTAAATCTGAGACCATGGCCTTGATTTGGAAATGGGTAGAATGCCTTCTCCAGGTCAGTGATGCGGGCGTTGTACCGGTCTGTCGTGATGAAGAGAGAGCTGAGTCAGAAGGCAAAGCTCTCGGTTTACTGGTCGATCTATGTTCCTGCCCTCACCTATGGTCATGAGCTTTGGGCAGTGACCGAAAGAACAAGACTGTGGACACAAGCGGCCGAAATGAGTTTTCTCCAAAGAGTGGCTGGGCTC